CTGCATTAAGTTCTAATCTCGGAATCGAAACCGTCTTTAGAGGTGCAACTCTAGATTTACCCATCACCAGGCTAACATCTATATCATTCCTTAAGGTGGTTCTGATGTATACGGCTGCACCAAATCCAACCTCAGAGGCATCAGAAAAAACATGGAAGTCAATTATATCATGATTTCTCGACGGCTTAAGTGGACGTGAGACGGAATGTAGATTCAGCATTCTTAAACTGTTAACCCACCCCTTCCACTCTTCTCTCTGCCTCTCACTTAATGGTTCATCCCACTGTAACCCTTTCCTGCATGTCTCTTGAAATAACCTCCTAGCCGGAAGTAGATAAGGTGCTACTAATCCAAGTGGGTCAAACACGGACGACAACACAGAGAGCACACCTCTCCGAGTAACTGGCTTATCAATATCACCAACACTAAATCCAAAGGTATCAGAGTTCACATCCCATCGCATACCTAATGTGCGTTCAACTGGTAGAGTATCAACAGGCAAATCTCGTACGGTAGGTGCTCTGTCTTCTGGATCTATATGCTTCAAAACGTCTAGGCTGTTCGAGACCCACTTAGTTAGACGAAAGCCGGCCTTAGCTAACACTTCAGTGATGCTTGTTGCAAATCTAACTGCAGACTTATCATCATCGAAGGAGGCTAAACAATCATCCACGTAGAAGCAACAATCTATGACGTCCAGCAAATCATTAGAACCAAATGTGGACACTGCCTTTCGTAGAGCAAAATTAGCACAAAATGGGGAGGACGTGGCACCAAATGGATGCACTGTCATCCTATATTCTGACACCTTACCACAAGGACCGTCATCAAACCACAAAAACCTCAAGTGATCTCTGTCACTCTCTGGCACCTTCACCTGTAGGAACATTTCCTCAATATCCGCCGCGACAGCAACTGTAAACTTTCTGAATCTCAATAGCAGTCCCACTAATGAGCTCACGCAATCTGGGCCACTATACAGATTATCATTTAAAGAGACTCCTTCATGTTTCGCAGAACAATCAAACACCACACGGAGTTTACCTGGCTTCCTCGGGTTAAAGACGGGATGATGGGGCAAATACCACTTCCCTGGCTCACTCTGATCAACTAGTCTTTCAACGTAACCCTTCATTATATGTTTATCGACGACTTCCTTATATTTGGACCAGAGTTCTGCATCTGACAGAAATTTCTTCTGTAAACCCATTAGTCTCTTAAGAGCAACTTTCCTATTACAAACCAACTGTCTATCTTTGAATCTCCATGGTAGGCCAACGCTGAAACGCCCGTTTTCGTATTTACAAGAGTCCTCGGCTATTTTAACTGCTTTTAAGTCTTCTACAGAACGACCCTTCCCTGGGACACCGCAGTCACAAAACTCCTTGTCATACATATTTTTAATCATAGTTTCTAGTTTGTCCCCATCGTTTGTAACTAATGATGATATGTGGACTATGGGTATAGGTCCTCTCACTGTCCATCCCAGTGGTGTTTTCGTCGCAAACAGATCATCTCTACCTCCAAATCTCTCTTCTAATACCTTGTGAGCTTCTGGCACACTACATCCAATGAGTACTCTCACTCTTCCATCTTGCAATGTTGGAAGAGGTATGTCACACAGGTATGGCTTACCGACAACCGTTTCACGACTAGGTACTATAGCTTCGCCAAGTTTCATACTGGAGGTAGTGTAAGCAGTATCCACTTCCACGGTCTCCCCAGTAGCCAAGGATTCTAACTGAAATGACACTCGCTCACATACTACTGTTTTCGCAGAATTGAAAGTATTTACAACCAAGGGTTGCTTTGGGCCTTTAATACCCAAGCAACCAGCCAGTTCAGCATCTATCAATGTAACGTCTGAACCATTATCCAACAATGCATAAGTCTCTACTGAAGATTTCGGTCCTTTCACCTTAACTGGTAATACCCCTAAGAAAACTTGTGGGATGTCAAGGGGTCTAGAGATACTATTACAATTAACCGAATTCCCAGGTTCGTTCACTGTTCTCAGAAGTGGGTGCATATCCGTTAAACCACTACTTCCTTTATTTGTCGCCTTACAATTCCACTTTGTATGCCCAATCTTTAAACAACTGAAACACAGCCGCTTCTGCTTTGCCATTTTTAACCTTTCTACGGGTGACATAGCGATAAAGCGATTACAATCACTCAATTGATGCATGTTATGGCAAACAATACACTCATCCTTTCTCGTTGTGTCTTGAGACTTCACCACAAATGCCTTCCTTATATTCACTGGTTCCTTAGGTTCTACCTTAGAATGCAAAATGCTGGCGAATTTGCCCATCGCCTGGTTGACACTGTCCTTCACCAGTCTAAGAATATCATCAAACCTTGGCTCGATACCCTCCTCCTCTATACGAGAGCTTATTTTTACCCACTTCCTTTGCAGCCGAGTAGGTAGGCGTCTCGCAATTACCTCTAGGACTGAGCTCGAGTTGAGGTCACTCATGCAATTCATAGAAATCAAGGTATTCTTATAAGTCATAAGATTATCTAAAAACTCAGTAAGTGCCTTGGAGTCATCTTGAAGTTGACTGCCGTTACCTTTGACAGCTTCGTATACGTTCCTTACAATCATCGAAGGTCTTCCAAACCTTTGACGTAATATGCTCATAGCCTCAGCGTATCCCTCATTAGGGGGCATGAGCTTACAGCACTGTATAGCTCTTGAAGCATCTCCAGTGCAATACCTCATCAAATACATCAATTTCAATTCATCACTTAATAAAAAACTACTCAGCATGATCTCAAACTCCTTTACAAATTGTAAATAATCAGCCGGGTTTCCATCAAAACACCGTGGTTCAAATTTAGGGAGTTTGATGTTCCTATTATCCCTGAACGGCGAAACAGTAACATCAACCATGTCATGCTTAACATCAGACACATCGTTACAATTAACAGACAAGTCACCATGACTTACTTTCCTGTTTGCATCCAAGACACTCTGTCCCTTCTTTGACCCAGGCATTGTTGAACTTGACCCAATTCCAAAAATGTTCCAGATATTGCTTGTTCAAAGAGGACTTGACCGGCACCAGGAAAGATGAACGGTGACTATCCAAACTTTCACCAACTGTCCAAAACCGTTTGGAAACTGACGTTGTACCGTCAGAAACTGTCAGCCATGTCTCATAAACCGTTAATGCCCAGCTCTTGCTGCACTCGGGCTCACGCTGTTCCTTGAAGTTTCTCAGAAACGCTTAGTAATAACGGACGCGAAAACCAAAACACCGATTGGCCACTCGAGAATTCTTTATTGTAACACCAACATATAAACAATGTTACAACTAAGGTCTGTGAACAAATTTTACAATAATAAATCACAATAATACTTCTGACGGTTTTCTCCTGACTTCTTTCTGAACAGCGACCGATGAGACGATGACTGTCGTATTGATGCCTCCGCGAAAATTAGGAGAGGTTGGTTTTGAGCCAACAACCATGAATTGATCGTTCAATCTCCAACTATACTGACAACACTACTACTGGAGATGTTGCGGGAAGAGGGCAAGGTACTTGCGGAGTGGAAGAAAGGATACTTATTCAAATCGCCAAAGAAAGAAACCTAGAGTCAACGTGAGAATTGGCTCGGCATTATGCTCCTATTCATCCCAGGCAAAAATACTAAGCCACACCATCCTGGAGAGAATCAAATAGGCCCCAGATGACAACCGTTCACCGGAGCAGGCTGGATTCAGAGGAACAAGTCATGCATCCCTCAAATCGCAACACTCCGTATCATCATTTTAAATAGCTTGGAATTGCAGTCAGTCAGCTCTATACATCAACTTCATAGACTTTGAAAAGGCCTATGACAGAGTCGATCGAGAGGTGATGTGGTAAATACTTCGCTACTACGGGGTGCCGTCGACAATTATACATCTCATCCAACAGTTATATGAGAATGCTGCACGCCAAGGCAGAAACAAATTACTCCTGTTTATTGCTTATATACAACACTGATGAAAATGTTAGATGAATGACAGGAGAATAGACTGCATAATTTTAGCTGCCTAGTGTGTCGCATCAGGTTTGGTTTCTGTTGAAGTTTTTTTCATATCTTTAGGAGTCATACGCATAGAATCTATTAGAAAGTTTGAAATTCCAATATAAGTGGAAGGTCTATACTTATATGTAGATGCATATGATGCTAAAATGCCTTATTTTTCAGCCTCCCAAGTCTGAACTCTTACGCTGAAAGCAGTTGACTTTAGATGTTTTCTTTTCACTTCAGCAGAAATTTATGGTGGTTTTGTTTTAATTTTTCAAGTTCATCATCAAAATCAGGTGCTCAAGGAGAGTGGCTTGTTTGAAACTGTTTTAACATATGGTGAGGTTTTGTGGTATTTTTCAACTGAAGTCATTCGTATAGCGATTCGTTTTGTCATTTCTAACGTCATATTCTAAAATTTAAATATACGAGGCGGGGATTTAAGAATATGTGTTGGCTTGAGCTCGTCCCTACACGTCTCTGTTAAATTCTATTTAAATATCTAATGAGTAATCCTCCACTATGTATAGCTGGTCTCAAACAAATTTTTGACGATGACCTCACTTTGAATCTTAGCTTTATTCTTCAGCGCCATCGGACATTCTGACTGTAGTCGGAATTTTGTTGAATATATTGCTTGTGCTACTCATTATAGTGATCTCTTAGCTTTTAGTTTACATTTCGCATTCATTTCAAATAAAACAAATCAACACAGGCTACAGGTACTTAAAAGATTTGTTCTCGCTAAAGACTTATGGGATTTGGTATTGATATATGTATATATACATGTGTATATATGCATATATGCATATTAAGTCCCTTGTGGCACGGTGGCACAGTGGTTAGGACTCTCGGCGACCATACACATGGTCAGAGGTTCAACCCCCTGCCAACGCACACCTGATATCTATGGTCAGCCTGCAAAATTTCGGTTACCGATATCCATGCTGAAAATTCCATACCTGTACCAAAAATACAGTGTGGAATCAAGCTGTAATAAAAAAATTACACTATTATCAGATACAAGGAATGCTATCAAAGGTCACTCCAAATCAAATCATGCCTGCCTTTTTGGACTTGGTACTTCTTCTGTAAATCCACACTGTTAGGCAGGATTATGGCTTTTTAGATTAAGGTTTAGGGTCTAGGCTTAATAGTAGTCCAAAGAGCAGTGTCAGAGGTATCAATGCATCTCACAGTAGCGTGACTTGCCATCACTTGTATGAATGCATCTATCACGCATGCTATAATTTCTTTTTAGATCATATTTGTAGTCACAGGAAGGCATTCTCATAACACATAAGCGACAACTAAATAGTGTAATATCATGCTTGCAATGTTTTTTAGTAGATTTTTCAACGATTATGCGACTTTCTTGCATCTAAATTCTAATTGGTCGTTCAGGGCCATTGCGGTTTCGGCTATAATAGTTTAACTTTGCCTTTTAGTATGTTAGATTATATGAAAGTTATGACATCAAGCGGTTTTAAGGTAGACTTTGGTGCTTAGATACTTCTGTAGGATTCCTTGGGTGTTTATAAAATCCGCGATATGAAATTTCAAAGCTTAGCCATGCCAGCTGTGTCGGTAAAACTGTTATGCTTATCGGTGTAAGTATTTTCACTTTATGAGGAATGTATATTATGATTGTATTAGCTATTCGTTTTTCATATTTAAATCACTAATCAAGTGCTTGCGCTATGTGGGAGCCTTATTTTCTTTTCAACTTCCCAATTTTCAAGTATCTAGCTTTCAAAATGTTATCTCAGCATTTTTTATTTCAGCCCTCATAGTTCACTAAATACAGACCTAAATAATCGGTGGGAACATCATCACTCACTGAGAAATGCAGGTACATCCAGATGACGAGCCCCAAATAGGACGAAATGCGCATCCTGGATTCCACTGCTAGCCACCATCCACCAATTGTATACTAAATAATCTATGCTTCTAGAGTAAAACTTGTCATACGATCATCCTGTGAGTTAGAAGTCACATCCCGTAAAATGCACCTATAGGCGAATAAACTGCTCAAAAATATAACTTCATGAATTTTGTCACACACCTATGCAAAGTCCATTTTCTAGACAAAATGTAAGTCATTCTACTGCTCGTGTGTGAAAGAGTTACCTATAGATTCGCTTATGGGTTGCTTAACATGCTTGCCATCTTTCTTTACAGTTGTAAATCTTTTGGATTAAGTGGAATAGAATTGGAAGTGGTTAATATGTGACTAAAAAGCGGACGGATAATCAGCATCAAAACGAAAAAGTAGAGTTCTCCGGCTGGATCAGTTGGGTTGGGAACTGCTATAAGTAACCCAATAAATGAATAGATCATGTATAGTTTTGATTATTTTCTATTATTGTTTTTTCTATTTTAACAAGGACAATGATTGTTTAGTAATGGTAGATGCGTTAGCTTGATTTACTTTTTAAATTTCGAGATATAGGTAATGAACGCCAAACTAAAACTTGTTTATTTATAGAGTTGAGTTTCAAAGATCGCTCATCAATGAATCAACGCATTTTGTCAGATTTCTTGGTGAACATATACTCTCAACACTTACATTCTACAAGCTGGTGGTAGCACTTAATCCAGTATTTGTCCGAAAGTATCTGGTTGAATGGTTTAAATAATGTACATATAGCAGTGACCTTTCATTTGAAATGTTTTCACTAGCTAGCACTAGTCGAGGATGTATGCTCCTCACTTTTATACACTCAGTAATTGGGGTAATTGTGTGTGTAGAACTTGCAAATAACATTTAACTGAAAACGAATTTTCGGCTTCATCTCAACGTTAGTAAACTTTGTTGTTACTGAAGATTTAATTTCCTTAACTTTTTAACCATAAAACTTTACCCACGGTGCGTATGTTGAGCCCTGATTACTTTTTGGTACCTATAGTGTTAATTTCGACAATCACGCTATCAGTGATAAAACATCTTTCCCACTTATCTACTATAAAGATATCCATACCTAATTAGAGTACTCTTGGGGTTGATTTTTTGATTCTAGAATACAAAAATTGCTGTGGTACTCTCTGCATTTATGCCATAAATAATTTGGAGAAATAAAATGCGAGCTGTAAAATCCTAAATTATCCACCACAAATTACTAATCTAGCGAGTGACCAATTAATATATGTGTATTAATGTCATATGTGATCAATGTCGGCTTATCAAAGCAAAAATGTTTGTACTTGTCGGCAAACTAATTTTTGACTATGAAGTGATTATGTCCTAGGGCACTGTTTACCTTACTCCAACTGAAGAAAGATATTTCCCTACGACTTGCTAAATTCTTCTCGCAGTTACTTTTCAGTCACTGATAAACAGTTTAGAAAAGACTGATTGTAAAAATGACAGTCTATCACTACAAGTTCTGGATAGTGACCGTAAAATCTTTTGAGCACAGAAAAAGCTCAGTTAGATGAGATTTTTTAAGACCTCATAATGTGACCAACTTTGGATCATTTAACGTATTAAACGTTTTATACTAGCAACATTTCGATGCTTTCAGTGAATTAGAAAGGTACGGAGTGTCATCTATTTACATACACTTAAATTTCGTACAGTCACCAGGTGCTCAAAACCGAATCGATTGACGTTTCTTGTGGAGTTAGTCACAAACCTTTGCCTTTTTGTCGCAAGTCGGTTCAAATTTGTACTCAAACGTTAATCTGTCTTCTGTACTAACTATTCATTTCCTATTTTGTCATTTTTAGAACGGAGCTGGAAATAGTGATTGCAGAAAATGGGAAGATGTTTACTTGATGCTTATTTCCAACCAGAATCCAGCAGAGAGCATTCCGATCAAAGGGACGTTGTTTTTAACAGATGATGTTAGTATAGGTTTCCTATATAATTACCATTGTTGTTAGGGAACAAAAGTAGGCATTCACTGGGTTCCCCATCATGACCAAGGTCAGTTAAGTCTTCTTAGCCGTTAATAAACTATTTGACTTATAGACTCTTCTTTATCGGAAGAAGATAGAAAAGGATGTGAAATAGATGTTAGAAATATGGATTTCCTTATTATCCGGAAAACTCCATTTTCTCCGTGTCGTGGAGTCTACTTGTCTCTAAAATCCAATGCAACATATGGGCCGTTTGAATTCCGCAGTGGTGGTTCCTCTTCATTTCTGCAAAATCTGAGTAGTTTGGCTGATGTTAGAAAGTGAGCCCCTAGGATTTCTTGCTTTGTTTTATTTTTAACATTTTCACTTTTTTGTTGAATGCCTTAGCGAAGTTTAAATATAAAACTCTGGTTCTTAAATAATCAGTATATATCTGTTTCGAGTGTGGTTCTTACGCGGTCCATCAAATTTTTTTTGTACACTTATTTGATTTCCATAATTATCAGAAATAATTCCACTCGCATTATGTTTGTCTTCAGTAAAGAAAAGTGTTGCGGTTATAATAAGCGAAAACCAGAAAATTTAAATCAATCCAAATTTAGCGATTGTTAAGCAAATGTGATCACCCTAGCAGCGTTGGTTTAGTTGACAGTACACCGTGACAGTCTTTATAAAAATATTGTAACAAAGATGTTATTTTTTCATTAAATCTTAAATGAAAGTATTTGGTAAGTTATAAGCAAAGTCAAAATACTGGCTTCTTTGCTAGATTCTTTTGTTGCTGCTATATATTCCTTTTAAGTTTGTGTGATAAAACAGTTCATTGGCATAAGTATTCTCCTTTTAACCAGCGGGTCCTGTGTTCAAAATCCACCCACCCACCTACTTTTACCTAGGTAGTATCACCAAGCCGCATAATAAGTGTCGCTCGTAACCTAATACATGAAAAGTTGAAAGTGAATTACAAAAGACTAGCGTCAAAAAACTACAGTAACGGTAAAATGATTATTGCGTCTGAAACATTCAGTGTATGACCATGTACTTTAAATAGAAATGACCTTTTTGATCTGTTTGCATCCAGTATATATATATATATATATATATATATATATATATATATATATATATATTAAAGGGTTTTTCAGTTGACACTACACGTTTTACTATTGATTATTCAGCTGAAAACTATTAGTTTCGTCTGTTATTATCATTATTATTTTGTTATTATTTCTATCTCAATGTAGATGCGATGATTTTGAAAATCGATATAGTGTAAGACCCCGTCCACAAATAAATTTCCAATCTAATTATCATCTTCCTCAACAGTAAGTTCAAGTGTAACTACGATATGTTTATTATTAAAACAAATCAGTTCATTCACCGTATTCATTTTTGTATTATAATGTTAAAAGTATAAAGTTAAGTGAATTATCTTGATAAAGTTCTTCTTGTTTATGCATATTTCGTTATATCTACACAAATTTTATCAGCCTAATTTTAGCATATAGATTCCGTAAACAGATGTCTTATTACTATCATGATTAATAACTGGTAATTACTTTTTAATAATAATATTTTCGCTGGTGGCTAGGAATGGAATTCAAGACTTATGTGTCTTCCTGGACCTCTTGGGTGGCCACTACCAAGCAAGTCATTTGAAGTTCTTAATATCTTTTGAAGGTAGTGTAGGAAGTACTAAACATGGTAGATTTTTTATTCTTTGTGATCATTTATCAATTTGTTTCACTTCTTACAAATGGAATCAGATTTTTGTATTTCTTTACTATTAAAATTTCGAATTGATTGCGTGTTAGAATATTCTGTTCTCATTCACCGATTCATCCTGAAATTCAAGGACTCAAAAGTTGTGAAAGTTGAAAATGTATGATCTGTCTAAATAATGAGTTTATAGAGCAGAGAAATAATGTACTCAGTGCATCTTGTAAGTACTAAACTCTTTGATATTTATTCTAAAATAATAGTTATGGATATTTTTTGCTGTGCGGGAGATGTATGAGAATAGTAAATGCAGTTGATATTCACCCCATATATATATATATATATATATATATATATATATGCAAATACTGAGACCTTTTTTTTCTAGTTATGTACAAAACAAAAGACAGTTCAGTTCAGGAGTTGTTGGGACACCTTTTTCTAACCAATTGGGTGCTTCATTGAGAAATATTGGACTGCATTTCAATACGTTTGCGCAAAGTATATTATCACCTAACTTAGATGAAAATGTTGCTCCTGATGGGACTATAGAGGAATATTTAACAAAAGGTATTGCAGAAGATCGCCAAAGAATTGAATCCACTCATCTAAGAACTACAGATGAAGGGGGTTTCGCTGTTGTTGAGCGGGTTAGTTAAAATTTTATGAAGTGAAAGTCTAACTTTTTTTTTAAACATAAAGTAAAGCATTGTTGTTTTATTATTTTTTTGTGGTGCATCTCTTGGCACCCATATCGTACCAAGTTAGTGTTTTAAATAAGCAAATAGTTGACAGAAATATTAAAAAAATCTAAAGGTTATAACAAATAGAAACCGGATACCGATGTTTGATATAATAACTCTCGTTATTCCTGAATTCTCGATACATTGATTTTACACCATTATGTGTTGCAGGAAAAATGTGTTAAAAAAATAAAAAGTCATGTACGAACAGATTCCAGAGGATTATTGGTCGTTTTCTTTCTAGTTGTGCTTGTATCCGCCTAGAACATAAAAATTACTTCGACGTAACTACCGTCATCTTTATTTATTGTATTTTACAATTTACCGGCCATATATCCTCAAGAATATTGTGATACGAATATTCATTGTTACTAAGCGTACACTGTTTCAAACCTGAGGCGTATGATGGCAGTAGAATTCGACATATTGCTTACATAAAGCTTCAAAGCTGATGAGAGACAATTTATTGTTGGTACAGGTAACGTTCCTAATATCCAGTGGACACTGAAGTCGATTTTGTCAGAATACTATAGTTCTTGGACCATTCCAGTATGTACGGAAGGAAAAAGAAAGAGGATTGTCAGCGTGGGTATGAAAGACTCGTTTTGCATTCGCCAACTTGCGTCATCCTTGGCACAAGCATGATATTCTGCTATCCATCAAAGGACCGTGCAGCTGTGTGCTCCGTTGTAGTTAAAGGATGTGATACATGACCGTTGCAAGAGGTTGATATGTAAACACTGACGATGTTTGATCGTGTGTGCCTTCGTTCACTGTTGTGTTAGTTGGTGTAATACGGTCAGGAACGGACGAGGATGTCAAATTGAGAATCGAAAAGGCGAGAAACACATTCATCAAGCTGAAACCAATCTGGAAATCTTCGTCCCTCAGCCAGCATCAACAACATAATTCGGATCTTCAATGCAAACGTGAAGTCAGTCAGTTCTTCTGTACGGATCAGAATTTGTGACTTGGCGGGTCACAAAGAATATTTCCAACAGCTTGTTGCAGACCTTACGTTTATCAACAACTGTCTTCGCTGGCTCTATACTGAAGATCAGACGGCCGGGCTGGAAAGAATCACCAACAAAAATCTATGGGAACAAACAAAACAAGAACCAATCGCCAACCAACGAATATGCAGGAGAAAGTGGAGATGGATTGGACAGTCACTGAGTCTGGAGGCCGCTAGGTGACATCATGCGCGCGTCAGGTTATTGCTCGAGTGGAACCAGGCAGAAAGGGACGCGGCGAGTGGGTCGTCAGTGCAAGGGTGACATGGAGGAGTGTGAAGAGGAGTTAAAACAGTATAGGCTTACAGGGATGCGGGTGAAAAGTACAGCAGAAGATAGAAGCAAGTGGAGACGTGCAGTTGAAACCTTATGTTCCACTAGGAACCCAAGGGAACAATAAAAATAATAAATGATTAAATGAGATGTATAATATTAGTTAAGGAGGGAAAGTCAGTTAATGAGGTTGTGAAGCTCCATCTTTTGAGATAGCTAGGATATGTGTTAAGCACGCTGAATCACAGAGTTCCTTGATAAAGCGAAGTTGGAAAAGAGTGAGTGACCGAACAGAAATATGGCACCACCCCGTGAAGTCTTCGGCTATTGATTTGATCTACCTAGAGAAGTGCTGACTACCTGGGTGGTATCTTGGAAATGCTAAGATTCATTGATCACAGAGTGTTTTTGGCATATTTCGAAAACCACAGGTGTTTTCATTCTAGTGCAATTCAGATTCGTTAAAATCTTCCGAAAGTTTTATTTTCTCCCGTAAATTTCCACTATAACTAAAATTTGGGAACTTCTAAGATAAGATACCAAGAAATGATTTCATAAGCTATTAAAACATCCAATCGTTTTTACACTTAGTAAAGGGTAGTTGTTAAAGTCCATCTGTATTAATTTCATAACTAGAAGACCGAAAGGTGAAATCATCTTTTGTAAAAAGTGAGCCTTTAATTTGTCATTGCACGTAACTTGCAGTGTTTGTGCCGTAGAAATGTCTCTATAATATATATATATATATATATATATATATAATCGGTGCATCAGTGGTTCAGTGGTTGAACACTGACCAACCAAGCAAGTGGTCGGGGTTCGGTCCCCTGCAGATGCACTCCTTTGCCTCGCCCAGCTGGTTTTAAGCCCGGTAATGAGGAAAGGTTGGATGTGAGGTTAGCAACCCCATCTCGTAAAAAACTGCGCTGCCACTGAAACTTCAAGTCTCTAGCTTGAAGCCCTTTGTTCCACTGGGAACAAAATGGAATTATATATATATATATATATATATATATATATATATATATATATGTATATAAAGGGTGTAATACATAGATAACAGTGTGAATTTAGGTGCATCTTAAAAGCAGTTGCCACAGTCAACAGTAGATAGAATGTTTCCAAGAAATACAATATACTATCTGACATAGTGAACAAATGAAGTAATACTGCAATGTGACAATCCTTTGAGTTCCATTTGTAATCCTAACGTATGGTAAAAGTTTTCTTGTTTATCTGAATTCTGACTAGTCAATATCCAAGCAAGTACACTAGTTATTTAAAGTCATTCATTTGACTGTGGCTACTGCTATTTAGCTCTTTGTGTTTTTCCAGATGAATGCTTATCGAGATAAAATGGATGACTTATTCACTGTGTATATTTTAATTAGAAAAAGTAAGAATACTTTTATTTCCATCAGTGTTTGCATCATATCAGATAACGTTTAATTATGTGTGTACTATATAGACAGACACGTATTTATCATCTGAGTTTCATTAAGCTCGATTAATTCTTTTCATTTACTTTATTCCTTGAAACCAGTTCAACTTTGATGACAATTTATGTGGTTATGTAAGCTTGAAAATCCTGAAAGTATTCTCATATCTGATGCAAATTTAAATCTTTCTCCTCAGAAGATAACAAAACTACAACTTGTCCACAAAGTTTTGTACTGTTGCGTTAATTGGACCTCAATCATTGGCAGTTAAAGAGAAAATCAGTATATATACATATATTTAAATTGAGTCTAACTGGATACACTGTTGTAGAGCTCGAGCCTCAAAGAAGCGAAACAGCTGTCTAGTGTTCAGATCACTTCAGTTCTAACAGCCAGCATTACTGTTTGACATGTGTCGGCTTCCACTACTCACATCAATCAGTCAGACGTACACACCATCATGAACTATAGCTTTTGAACAGAAGTTGAAAGTTGAATTCTTCGATAGCTTAGTCCTTATATTCTTTTTACACACACAAAGATCTGTACTATCCATGGTGCTAAGCATGTATAAACATAAAATTAGGTGAATGACCATTAAGAGAGCATCTGTAGCAAGTAGTGATAATGTAATTTTAATTTAATCTTTTTATGGCAAGAAACACAATATTCATTACTCTTTTGATAGTTTCCACAAGTTAGCATCACTTAAATAGTCAATGAATTCTAAGGCACGATGAAGAGATATTTTCTTTTAAACCAGTTTAGAATGAAATTTAAATGCTGCATTATATTTTTGCCTATTTACCTAGCGACCAAACCCAATTTACCTCCCTCCACTGCCTAATGTTCACCGTTCCTTACCGTTGAATATGAATCAGTGGAAAAAGTCTTTGGACCCAGAAGGCCGGGTAAATCGACCTGAAAGCTTACGTGAAATCATTTTTAATGGTGTAAGTATTAGTGTGTATGGTTTTAGTTCTTGTGTATACTGATAATAATGCACTTTTTTCATATTGGTTACTGTTTATACTCATTTGTCATTAATCTGTTCTGTTGTTGCTTGTTGCTTTTTCAGTTTTAACACGTTTTTAACTTCAGATTTTAAATTACGTCAGAATGACATTTAACGTTTATTGTGTTAGCATTAGTGATGATATTGACTGATACAATTAAGAAACACTTTCATGCAAATATGTTTCGTTATTAAACAGTCTCCATTATTTTTTTTACAATAACCCAAGACTATAGGTATCTCTTTATTTTTTTTGAAACTGGACAGTGTAAATTACTAAAACTTGTGAAAATCCAAATTTCTGTCTACACATAGATCACATGTGCACACGGAAACTGAGGGAAATGTCAAAGCAACGACTGGTTTTATTTAATTGAATTTGTTGTCAGAGATGTTATGAGGTAGTCTTAATTTTTTACTCCAGTCACCAGGGTTTACACCTAACTGTGTTATGTAAATGAGCAATACATGAATGTGTGTTGATCATCATATGCGTGCAGAGTCATCGCTTTCTTCGAAAAGCAATGCTGGAAATGAGTTAGCAGTGGTAAAATCAAAACCTGGCATTAATCTCTGAAGTCTTCCACAGTTGGTTTGAGTCACGTCGGGAAGTGTAGACTGTTTATTTGGGGTCCTTGAGATGCTAAGAATCAGTGGCTTGAGACTGTCGGTGATCTGACTCTCCATGGAGCGGATGCATTCACTCTTTTTACTCTCCAAGATCTGTTAAGTCCTCATATTTTCCTATATTTCTATTATTTCCTCCTTACGTTTCTGCTCATTGTAGTTCTTAAGAATGTCTTTTTTCTGTCGGTTCTCTATCTTTGGAGTAACAATTTGAACTACTGCAATACTGTGTGAGGTTCTACAGTGGAACTCAGTTAGTCACTAACCAAAGTCTTCTCATCACTATTATAATCGTACTGAACTGGTTATGTGGTAAATTTGTTGGCTAGATTGAGCTTATCTCACACAGTTTAATCATCCATTAGGTTTTTATTTCTACTAGAAATTGTTGATATGTTATTGAATTTAAATATACCGATTAAGGATTTTTGAAAAAAAGAGTAAATTGTCCTTATTGTATATGGGAAAACTAGTTTACCCAAATGAATGATTAGTTGCTGGAAAATAAACACGTTAATAACTGTTACATACTGTCATATTATTGCTTGCGTTCTGACTAGTTCGAATAGCCTCATTACACTCAGTTCTCTTCCATCAGTTTCAGCTCGCTGCACAACTGTTTAAAAGCCTTCGTTTTCTCTTCACATGATCTTCTCTCTGTCTCAGAGGCCCAACTTGTCGGATTCATCTCGAGGGTCTTGTATGTGGTGTCACCTGATGGTCTGCTTACAGTATGTTCAATCCACCAGTCTACATTTCCGTCTTCATATTTATTGGTTATTGGGTTGTTGGCTGGTTCGCTGCTAGACTTCGTTGCTCGCTTATTACCTTTTCCTGGGCTATTTGATCTTCGATGTTGAGCGAGGGCACGTGTTGATAGAAGTCTGCGGTACCAAGTTATGAATGCTTATGGTGACGTGCACGCCATTTCTCTGAGTCATATAGAAGCAATGGTTTGATGTTAGTGTTAAAAATTCGGATCTTGTTCCTTGTGCTTAATGTGTATATTAAATTCTATATTTCAAATTTGGAATATTGTCACTAAACTTTTAGTCTCGTGAAACGACCAAGTGGACTAAACTATAGGTGCACTGACATCGAACGTAATCACGAACCTAATTTAAATACCAAATACACCTCTTCTCTTCCAGGACCTGCTTCAGCGACACATGTAAATCTCTTAGAGTATATCATCTGCCTTGATGTTGAAGAAACTCCTTGTGGACATGTGTTACCCAGCACCAAGCATACATCCACGATTTCTTGACGATCGCCTTCAACCACGCTGCATGGGTCTGAGTTGAATTATTTACGTAAGGACCGCGAAGCCTGGTGGTCAGAACGTGCGTGTGAGATGGAGTCAGCTGCTGCATCTGGCGACAGCTGGAAGCTGTTCCAACTCATCCGAGCCACGGGCAGCAAGAAACAAGGTGTCAGCGAGACGGTCTGTGAGGCAGATGGCACGCTAATTACCAGCTTGAAAAGACGCCTAGAACGCTGGGCAGAGCACTTCGGGAAACAGTTTAGCTGGCCACCAGCTTCAGTGTCTACTTTCATTAACCCCAATGCTCCTTGGTCGGTTAGTATCGACCCACCCATCGAAGCGGAGGTCCGTAAGGAACTCCGAGTGTTGAAACGCCATAGGGCACCCTGCCCAGACAATTTACCCCCGGCCCTTTTTAAAGATGGTGGCGAAACTCTCACAATGGCTCTAACTGGGTTGTTCAGAAAGGTATGGGAGACAGAGAGTGTACCATCGCTGTGGAACGAAGCCATTATAGTCCCCATCTTTAAAAAGGGTCCACGTAATTCGTGTGACAATCATAGGGGTATCAGTCTGCTACCAGTAGCGTCTAAAATATTGGCTGTTGTCTAGCTTCGCAGACTGTGCAAAATACGTGAAGGATTGATTTGCGAAGAGCAGGCTGGGTTTCGTTCAGGTCGTGGATGCATTGATCATGTGTTCACCCTTCGTTAGTTGTTGGAACACCGCCACACGTATTGCAGGCCAACGATCGTTGTGTTTCTTGATATTAGGGCTGACTTCGATTCGTTGGACAGAACTGTGCTCTGGAACTGTCTGTTAGAGAGAGGTGTACCTGAGAAATTTGTTAACATCTTGAAAGCCCTATACAGAAACACCTCAAATAGAGTGAGGGCATACAACTAGCTATCATCACTGTTCCTAACCAACAATGCGGTTAGACAGGGTTGCCCAATCTCTCCATTTCTCTCTAACTTTGCCATCGATGACATTCTGGAGTCAGCTCTGAAGGATGTGTGTGAAGGTGGTGTAGATCTGCTACCTGGAGATAGACTTTTCGACCTCGAGTATGCAGACGATATCGTCTTACTGTGCGATAGCATGCAGGCTGCCCAAATCGCACTTAATCAGTTGGCGATCAGTGTCTGTAAGTATAGTATGTGCTTTGTGCCGTCTAAGTGCAAAGTACTGTTACAAGATTGGCAGAAGCGTGTACCTGCACTCACTCTTGCGGGTGAACCGCTTGAAGTTGTTGATAAGTTTGTGTATCTGGGTAGTTGTGTGAGTGCTGGCGGGATGGGTGACGGATGAGATTTCCAACCGTATAATGAAGGCTAGGGTGGCATACATCAACTTGAGCCACCTATGGCGCCGTCGCGACGTTAGCCTGGCTGTCAAAGGCCGGGTATACGATGCTTCGATGGAGCTGTGTTGCTCTACGCCTGTGAAACCTGGCTTCTCCGAGTAAGCTGAGGATGTGCGGCGACTCTGCGTGTTAGATCAGTGGAGATTACCATTCATTGAGTGTCGTTATATGGAAACATCGGGTCCGGTGCTGCGAATGTCATCCCAGAGGCTTCCGTACAGGTCTCTGTTCTCTGACCCTGGGACGGGATGGAAAAGGCGGAGGGGCGGTCAGTCTGTGACGTGGCGTCGTGGGATGAAGGATTTTTGTGCTAGATTAGCATCGGTTGGTGTGTCACGATTCCCTAGTTGGGGTCCACGAGGTAGCTCGAATCGATGGCTCGAAACGTTATCGGATACAGCCAAGAATCGTAATCAATGGCGAACGTGTTGCCTTTTTTCTTCCATCCCTTCCCGATGGTAGTTAACGAATACTGTTTGAACTTGTTAAGCATGACTACTTTCCTTCCAATTGAAGTTCTTTATCCGTTCTCTACTTATTTTTCTCTTTTTTTACTTTTGATCTATGTTGTTTTATTATTATTGTGTGGCACATCTTTCTTGGCGCCATATTGTACCAAGCTTTCTCTGCGTTGAATTATAATGGTTAGGCGGTGGGAAGCAGCTTAAATGTATATCAAAGTTTTTTATTTCATTGACCACTGTGTTAAAACTGCATTTAACTTTTTAATCAGTGGTCATTACATATTCGAACGTTCGCTGTCGGATCACAGATGTGTAATAATAACAACAGGAATGATTATAATGATATTAATAACGACAATAATAGTAATCGTGGTAATAATATATTGTTTATAAAGACTCACGTTTCCTTAGCATAATTGGTTTCCTTCTAGCATATCGATTTTTAGGTCTTAAAGCCTATTTACTGCAATATACGCCATTATTTTTTCACTAGTTTGTTTTCAGAAGTGTATCATGTGACCAGTAGTCTTTTTGTTCAATAGAACTATAAATTTTATTTAATTTCGTTTTTTTTGACGGTTTGTCTAACGAGATATTTATTTAGTGCTTATTTTTCCGCAAAAATTAATTCTTACATTTGTTGGTGGTATCAGCCTTATTTTTATTATTATTACTATTCAATCGATGACTGTGAGTGCTATGCAATAGGTAATTCGTAAATTGTGTTTTTGTGAAAGGTTATTTAGTAAATGTGACTTTCATTTTTTGAAATAATGACCTTCACTTAGTAATAAAACATTCTCATCTCAATAACTGACTGCATTTCTACCATAGAACTTGACACAAGAGTTTAGCTGCCCAAGTTGCTACACCATGTAGCATGTAGGTAGAGAAAGGAAAGAAATTCAAGAAAATATATCATAAGCAGAAATAAACAGGAGAAAGAATAATTTCACGGAGAATAATGTGGATTTTGAGGGTCTAGAAGATAACATTAACTGATTGCATCTGCGCCGTTGAGAACGGTTTTGAATCAAATTACCAAAAATCTCAAACCATTGATAATTAGTACGTTGAGGACCCCAACGAGACGGTCTAGATCTATGCGACTCAAATCAACGGTCAAGGACTTCATAGTTTGATGCCACGTTTTGATTCGATCACCCGTAACTATTTTTTCGTTTTAATCCTATGTCAGCTAGCGTTAGTTGGCGAAGAAGGAGACACCTTATCATTCTCAACATCTTGCCTTCCTCGAGGAACAATGTTAACCGACAAAGAATTAGGTCGGAAAAGATTTTCAGGTGGTCAAACCAGAACCTGACATCAATCCAGGAAGTCTTTCACAGTTGGTTTGAGCCACCTATGGGGGCGTCGACTACCCGGTTGGAGTTTTGAAGATGGTAAGAATCTATGGCTTGAGACTGTCGGTGATATGACTCAGAATCGTCCTCCACAGCACAGACTCATTCATCCACTAAACCGTCATGTTTTTCCATGTTGCTATTCTTCCTTCCTCACATTTATGCTTATTATCCCTTTGAATCCAGTTTCTTCTCTCTTTTGTTTATCTTTATGTATTAAATAAAATGTGGTAACTCGAATTGCTGCACTTCTGTGCAAAGTTCTATGCTGTAACTCAGTCAGTCAGTCTTAACCATCTCAGTTGATATAAGTTAACAACCCCGTTGACTGGCTTTACCTAATTAACTACATCTTAATATTACTCATCATGTTAGATCATTTAATGCGGGAGATAGAACACAAACATCTGCGGTCAAATACAACTAGATTCTTCACACCTCGCATATTCACGGCCACTTCTAAACTCCATGAAGAAAAACAGCAAACTTCTGTACAGTACACACGTCCTTTGGTAGATATCTGTCTACGTCGGAGATAACATAAGTTGGTCATTGTCACATGAAGCTTCTGTTTCTGTGCTGAGATTTCGTCAGAACTCAGTTGATTACGTCTGATGTATCGTGAGTAATAAGTGAGGTCGCCAACACGCCCAATCATTTCGCTGTTTATGTTTAAACTAGGAATCAGTACAGACTAGTTCAGCATGAACATCTGACATCTGACAGGGGTGAATCGCATGGCAAACAAACCAGGATTTCTGCTCAAGATGTTCAGAAGAGAATGTGTTTTGTCATTGTCTTTGTGTAGGGGAACTGTATCATGTTGATACTGTAAATCGATGAGACGGTTTCCTGATAACTAGTCAATCTCATAATTCTTAGAGTCGATTAGTTCCATGTCATTTGGTAAATTTGTTATAAAATTAAATCAAAAAGAAAACTGTGCATCTTTAATGAACTCTATTGGTTGTCATCACTTCAGATGGTATCTCCTGATAATCATTACCGCGTATTTGGGAGTTTGAGTAGAGTGGCTTGATTAGTATGACATAAGTCAACACTCTCTTCACCACGAGACATTGTTGTAGCACCTGTCGGTTGACAGAGTCAGTTTCTACTTTCAGTCCAAATCTGTGGCAATGGATATATGTATAATAATCTTTAGCTGTTATCTTTCACAAAAATACTCCAAAATATGGTTAGTGATTTTTCTATTCTGCTTTCTTTTTCTTTTGAAAAATTGATACCTTATAGGGTATTGAAAAAGATTTGCGACCTATAGTTTGGAAGTACTTACTCGGTTATTATCAATGGACGTATACTGAAGAAGAAAATGAAAGGTTAAGAGTTGAAAAAAGGTAACTTGGTTTTGCTTAATTCAGTGAGTGCCTGTTGATACCGATAGACTGTTGCTTTAATCCTTCTCTTTCTTTTCATAGATGAATTTATTATCCAACTGTACGAACACTCTAAACTGTTGTTTTGTGATTTTTTCCGCCTTACACTGTAAATACATGTCTGTAGAGGAATTTTATTAACAGATGGGGTTCATCTCAATATTTTGAAACTCCGCGACATTACACAAGGGACTTTAAGGAAGTGATCAACTCAGTTACTGGTATAAGGATGTTAATATGATTCATTTCAGGAAATGTGGGGTTTGACCCCCTGAAAGATATAAGCTAACTCTGGCTGTTATCGATTACACTGATGTAGATTGGTTATTTTTCAATAAGCGTACAATCCGATAGGGCAAATTCGCAATTTGCAAATTAATTCACGATTTGTAATTTTGACAGTTCGACTTGATGTTGTGTAATGTATTACCTGTCCTTCCATGTAGCCAACCACAATTCGGATGGTCTCAACTGATTTGGCTCTCTGAGCTGAGTCGAAGCTCTGATGAGCTCGGTCTCAATTGATTCAAACGGCCATTGAGTGTTTAGATCACTGTGGTAATCTGGCTAACAGGCACTACTGGTTGATTTGAGTGGTATCTAATTACTTTCACTGATCAATTAATAGTTTATGGGATTGTGCGTACAATCCACTTTTTAATTATTCTCTTCTAGTGTTGTGAGACCGTTAGATAGTAGATCTTTCCTTTAATCTTTAGTAATGACTATCATCTCTATTCACTGCCAGCAGAATAGGCACAGTAGTTGTTTTTCTATTCTGTGAGCTGGTTAACCAACATTGTTAATTTAAGATTTAGCAGAAAGTTCAGCATTTGTTCAACTTACAACATACGTTTAATTAATGAATTTTGTCGAAAATAAAATTCGCAAACGCTGGGTCAGGCCGGTACACCTAGCTCCACGCGAGCAAGTGAATTGGCAGATGCATATATATATTATATATATGTATATATAGTAAAATACATCCCAATTTACAAAACAATCTTAGACTGAAGAAATGAGTGAACAAATGAAAAGAGTTAAGATAAAGGAAGTGGTCTGTTTGAATGGTACTGTCCACTTTCATTGTTTTGCTCTGTTTCGCCTATCATGAGTTACATAAAACCACCGATAAAGAATGCGGTGATATTTATGACTTTATTAAGACTAACTCTTGAATAATAACTAGGCATTTATCAGCAGCCTGGACTAATAATACCGATTTGTTTTCTGGTGTGTATATATCTTTGTGTGTGTGTGCGTGTGTTTCAGATGAATAACGTACTTTTAGCCTTTGGTCATGTTATTCTCTGATTAAGTGGTAAGAAAATATTTAAGGGGAAAGAAAAGGTGATCGTGATTCTACTAAGAATGAGTTGATCATGTCTTTTTTTAAAAAGAAAACTGCTCAAGTATGTACATACACATTGTTGTCAGAATTAAGGTGCTCATTGGCAGTTGATATTTCAAATTTTTTTTTTTGAGTAAACAATGTGTATTGCTTTCGTAGTAATGATGCTACTATTAATTGTTTGGAATTTTGAGTAAGCTTAAGGATAAACAACCTCTGTATTGACTAGATAATAAGCGTTATTTTTCTTCGTATCACTCTGATACGTATTCAATTCCACTCTGTGTTGAGTAAATTGTGGAGGGTTTTCAACTTCTTATTAACTTCATCTAGTGATATACTGCATGTTAGTTAGCCTATATAGAAAAATCTTTATATAGGGGAATAAACTTAATACTTTATCTTGGCTTATTCATAATAATTCACGATTATAATTATTTTTCTTCTCTGACTGACTGACTGACTGGCTGAGCTGACTTCTGTGAACTCTTTAGATTAGTCCATCTCATATTTATTTTGATTTGATTTGTTTTCATATGTGTGTACATAGAGAACGTATTGGCCAAGTGCAGATTAAATGTGATGAACAGTACACATTCATGATACAACGACCAATTATACTATGCACTGATCTAAACTTAAGCTAGAAGATTTTTCTTTCAAAAACTTTTCCCTCTTCATTTAAAATTGGATTTTAAGCTAATGTGTTATAATGTTCAAGCATTCTTACTGGCACATATCACATTTCACAGAATACAGCCATTAGTCGGTGTACTGCTTATTCCGTTTTATCATCAGAATTATTTTGCTTTATCGTATGATACAGTAGTAGAAAGAAGTCTCATTTTGGCTAGACTGAGGAATTAATTTATAAAATATCTGATTTGAGTCATTTAGAGGGTTGTACTCTCTCTGATTCAGTTTACATAACTGCTTACAATAACTGGTTAAAAGAATTATGAAAGAGTTTTTTCTCAGTCTTATATCTTATTATTACTTCAGTTTCTCAGGTTTCTTATTACTTTTATTTTTGCTAATTCTGTTTTTTAATATGGTTTTTCCAGGTGATATATTGCACTTTTGATACTATTACTTTTATTACTGGACCATGACTGACAACTGTAGCTATCTTTTAATAGGAGCATATAGATTGTTTTTGTTTTAGTAATGTTATACTTTTTGTTCACGCCATCTCTCATTCCACTGATCATAACTGACCAGCTTGAAACTGGAGTTGAAAGTTCCACAAACACTTCCTTCCTTTTTTTGTCTTATATATGCATTAATTGCACATTTCGCGTGTATTCTATTCTCTCCATTATATTTAAATTTTCCTGTCTATCGTTTGCTAATATTTATCGATTTATAACTCCAGGTAGTTGTTCTCTGAGATCTTTCTTGTTTTGAATATGCGATATCATAATTGTTTTTGTTTTTTTGAATATAGTGTCATTCTCGTCTAGAACAACAAAAAAAGTCGTTTGATGAATCCTGCTGAAAATATTGGTTTTACCTTTGTTTCTTTCCTTAGTCGTGAATATCATACACTGAAGGCATTTTGGAAGTCAATGTCCCCTGATAGGGAAGCCAGATTTACTTTGTTTCGTGATCGCAAATGTTTTATTGGTAAGTCTCTTATTTCTCACCTGAATAGCATAATGCCTTGTAAAATAATTCCGAAGTGTCTATCAAAAGAATAAATAACCTAACTATCATCAAAATCAATACATAACCTTAAGGTAAACATTTGTAAGCAAGACGATTTAATAAATTATGTGCTTTGTCCTCGGATGGTTAAATTCTCGTCCTTCCCTTGGAATGATCTAGTGTGGCCAAGAGTTCATAGTCTGTGCCATGTAAGTCATATTCATTGAATAAATGCGGAGACGGGTGTTCTTACAGAAGTGATAGGATAGACGTGAATGTTCGGCGCTTGTCATCACACCGGTGGACATGAAGATATACCCGAAGGAGTTAGAAAGTTTTGATTCCGAACCAATGGAACACACAATCTCCTGAATCCGAAAGAAACGGCTGTCTTACGAACTTGTTCTGGTCATCTTTAACTGTGAGAACTGAGATCCTGGCACTTACTCTGCTACCTTGTGAATTAGAGTTGAAGCAAAAGCCTCTGGAATCACTATGAGAACAGCGTACGAAGAATGCGTTACTGGCTGGATGACATTCTTTGCCTCTGGTCTGTAAAGTTTATTTTCCGCCGGCGTGATAATAGCTTAGGGAGCTGGACGTTTTAGATGAAAAATCGGCTTGCTGTTTGGATTTTAAAGAAAAAGAGACTTGAGTGAACTAGCTACAACCAAGTTTATGCTGGAAAGCAGAAGCATACTTTTACCGTGAGCGTAGCAATTAAGAACTATCAGACATACAAAGCAGACCAAATATCTTTTTGAGTGTGACGATACATGACAACATACTGAATTTAATGAGATATTTAGTTTATTTGTCTAGTCCAGACCAAATTAGTCCAAATCATGACGATCGATTAGGTAACATAAATCACTGAATTGATGACCAACACACTTAGCGTAACAGTATGTCTTACCTGTGAATTTCGCGCATATTCGAAAATATTTCTAACAGTATTTTATGTTGGGTGAATGTGACGGAACTCAAGTGTACACCCAGATGCAGTGTGAGATCAAAGCAATTTAAGATACTTGATCTGATTGAGGATGAATAGATTTATTATTAACGCATGCAGGAACCTAATTTCTCCTGATGGCAAAGTCGAGTTTGAATATCTCAAAAGTGTTCTTTATTTGGCTAGATAATCTCTATATAAAGTCTTTTGCGGCTTAGATGAATCCTCCGCTAAAAACCACTGGGTTTCCCCAATTCACCTGCACATCTGTAAGACTCTAGTAGCAGAAGTAACTGAATTACTCAGGAAAGCACAAGGAAGTGGTGCGAAGTGAAGCTTGTATCGTGCCTATCTTTAAAACGAGACAACCATCGAAGTATTAGTCTCTTAACAGTCGGATCTATAATGTTAGCTGCTGTCTCGCTTCTCAGACTGTGGATCCGCAACGAGTTCGCTCGCTTTCATTCATGTCGTGGATGCATTGATCACATGTTCGCCCTCCGTCAGTTGGTAGAACATTGTTACTCATATTTCAGGCCGACAATTGTATTATTTCTTGTAATTAGAGCTGTCTTCAATTTGTTCAACAGAAATATTCTTTGAAACTGTATGTTCAAGTGTGTGACAGACAGACGTCATCCTGAGAAGTTTGTTAACATCCTAGAAGCTGTGTGTAAAAACACCTCACATAGAAATAAGGCATTTAACCAGCTACCATTGCTGCTTTCAATTAACAGTGTGTTTAGACGAGGTTTAACTTTATTTTGCCATCACTAGCATTCTGCGGAAGGGGTGATCCAATGGGCGAAGTCTCCACAGATGTTGTACAAATATTATACTGGCGGCTCCTATTTCGTTCACGGTTTATTAGCCTTTGGACTGGAAGAGAAAATCGGAGGAGTGATTCATGCCAAGGCACAGAGGTATGGGATGAAGTGTATTTCTGTTAGCTTGACACAAACTTACTAAAAGGAAAATTATGTCGGTCGGAGATTCTAGTGGAGCTCATTAAAAAAAGTTGTTGAATTTATTTGTTACCTTACAGTCATAATAAAGTCAAGTACATAAGTCAAACTAGTAGGACAGGGTCAATTAGATCGGCATAGCACGAATGTTTGGCGAAATTTGGACGAGTAGACTCTAATAAGATAAAAAGGCCCAACCACTACATACAGTTACACATATATGCAGTAGGTTAGAAAGAAGTGATTGATAATTGAAGCTTCATTTATTGAATTGACCTAGAGTACGTGCAATAGGACGTCTGGCAAATTCTTCTACCCTCATGACAAATGGGAGAAAAGAACAATAGCTACAAAGTTTGAGTTTCGAAGCTATTTAGTTATAAGTGATATGGTTATGAATAATGAAGTGTGTTCAAAAAGTCATCCAGTACTGTTTCACAGTGTGATATAACCAAAAACCAAATTACCTACTAGTACAGTTTCCAATTTTTACACATGTTTCAAAAATTAAAGTCAAAGAAAAAAAGAAAAACGGATTGCACCTAAGAATAAAATTATAATGATAATGGAATGTTGGTTTGACGAAGTAATATGTGAGAATGTGGAGGTGAATAGAATTTTCTAGTCATTGTTGTTTGATGGTTTGCATGAAGTCTGAGATACTGCCAGGTATATGGCCAAACCAAAGCAGGTGGATAGTAAAGGGACTCCTTTTTACGCGTTTAGGTTTTACCGGGTAGGGACTACGAATGCGTGGTCACAAGGGAGCATTTCAAGGGGAAGACGGAATGCGCTTACCCAACGTTGGACACACGATATCATTAAGTTTCGTTTTAAGGTACTTTTAAATCATACTTTCAGCTGTATGTAGCCTGTAAAAACAGAATACTTAAGATAAGCCACGATGAAGGTGTGAGAAAACTGTTTTAAATAATTAGATATTCTCGAAAAAATCAAATTGCCCCCTACCGAGTATTATAAACTACTTCACTCGACATTCAACAGCTCAACATCAGTGTATTCAAGATTCGTTAACCAGAAAAAAATTATTGTTATGTAGTTGGTGGTTTTTATTGATTCTTCCAGATAATGTCGCATGATAAGTGTTAAAAAATTTGAAGTCTTTTGTTTTTAAAACTCACCCTTCAAAATTTTTTTCTCTTTAGATAAGGATGTCCCACGAACCGACCGTAAAACTGATTTCTATAGTGATGATAATCGCGGGAATTTGACACGCCTCTCAGACATACTAATAACTTATGCTATTTATAATATGGATTTTGGTAAGCTGTGTGCAGTCAAACTGCCCACATTTTGTTATTAATAAAAGTTGTGAATATTTACTGTAACTTTTACGACTGATACAAATTAATGCACCGGTTTTATTTCATTTTGAGAGAATAACACTAGACCTAACCAATGGTTAGTGATCTTCGAGGGGGAAATCAGTCGTTCTCAGTCATTCCTTATTTAAAATACACTGTCTATTTAAATTCACACGCCTAACATTTTTTATACTGTGATATGTTGTGTTTGATATGTTTGTTCTGTATACTCACAATGTTGGTGCTGTTGTTTTTGTTTTTGCTAAACTCTATCTGATGGGAACCGACACTGTGAATGGCTTAAAATATGATTTATGTTAACTGAAAATATATCCATGCGCATAGAACGCGTACATTATTCACAACACTAATCATTTGAATCTTTGCTAATAAGTTTCGTTCCATTGTTCTGTCGTCAAGTTGTTTGACTAAATCACAGTCATACTTCTGAATTACATCCCTAAAATCTGTTTCACCGTTCTATATAGTCACTATGATTTTATCATGAGTGCCCATGTAGTATATATGTTATTCACTAAATTGTCTATTGTCTTTTTACTAGTTGTGTAACTATTTCAAATTGACTAGGAGGTCGTATATTTTTCTTATGTTAAATCTAATAAATCATATTCACTCATGTTTGTTAGCATAAAGTGTATGTCTGAAGTGTATTCAGCTAAGCAATTTTAAAATAAATCTGCTATCAGCATGTATAAGCACTAACAAGAAGTAATGACGTGTTGTGTTTTTATAATGTGTTAGCTAATATTGTCATGGAAAGATGCAGAATATATATATATATTCACCGGAATATTAGATTTTCTTTTAAGACACTAACTAAATGATGCAGCATGATAATTTGTCTCAAAATCTTTCGGAATGATCATTCTTATTGTGTTTCTGAGGATCAAGTTCCGAAGTCGATCTACCTACCTAGCTACTAAAAGTACGTACATATAGCAGCTTTGGTGGTTAAGAATTTCTCAGTCACTGCCTTCTTTTCCTGTTTCTATGACTTTTAAACTTGTTTAATACAGGATAATTATCAATACAAATACAAAAAAAATTGTAGCAGGTCTGCAAAGAATAAATGGACAGTCTAGTTAAATTAAAGATTAGCTGAGAATGACTACTTACTAGAAATAGTTCAGCTGTCCATGGTTTGTAGGAGAGAGTTCTGTGAAGTTTTTCGTAGCCGTTTCAGTAACACTTTCAAAAACTCGTATATCCGCAAGCATAGAAATTTATAAAAAATAATCTGTTTAAAGCAGATCGATTGCCAAAATAGTTATATAGTTATCTCAAGCAGCATATTAAGCTCAATGTAGAATACTGTTAACATAACGATGCATTTGGATTCTCATTTTCATACTTGAAGATGCCTGAGATTGTTTGCCAGTGTATATAATAATCGTACGTTAGTTAGTGCAGAAAATGTGTAAGCCTATCTGTGAAATATGTTTGCGAAAGAATTGTAATTGCGGCTCATTTAATTTGTTTTGTTTTATTCAAAATTGAATTTTAGTAGATTTCTCATCTATCATGTCTATTACAACTCTTTAATATGACGAAGGCCTATAGATCCCTTAAAATACGAAGAACTTTAAAGAAAGTAGATCCAAATAAATAAATAAATAAGAAGTTTTAAGGCTAGACGTTTCAATCGATCGTTATCCTTTTTTCAACTGACAACAAACATGTGAGGTGAAGTCCAATAAAGTTTGCTAACACGAAAATCTCCTCCTAACTGAAAATAATTCGGAATAGCCGGATATTTATCACAGTTGTGACTATGTGAGTAAGATTTTAATAGGGAATAATTCATTTCGGATTATAAAATACCTAGAAAGGGAAAAAAAATTCAACAACTCTTTCGTTTTCAGAATTTTTTCTTTTTGTTATTCCTTTACGTTCCCAGTGGAACATAGTGCTTCAAGCTAGAGGCTCGAAGTTTCGGTAACAGTGGTGTTTGTTTTTACGAGATGAGGTTGCTGGCCTCATGCTCAACCTTCCCTCTTTACCAGTCTTACTACTGGCTTAGCGAGGTAAAGGAGTGCGTCCAGTGGCCGGGGATCGAACCCTGTGCATGATCGGCGAGCGTCCTAACCGCTGTACCACCACCGACGCATCGTTTTCAGAACGAATGTTACAATTGTGTTGCTTTCCTTTTCCTTCAATTTCGTTGATGTATATGTTTTCAAAACCACTGTATCACTTGCTAAATAAAGATATTAAATTCACATGAACGTGTGATGTTAAGAATACATTTGAAAATCTCATGCGCAAACATACGTAAATATTGTACAGACTATTATTTGTTGTAAAATAATGTAGTGGTGTTTTTATTTCATTTAAAGGATTCAAATGAATCAGTAGTTTTGATATATTTCTTTTCTAAACAGTATTGTCTAACTTTTTGTCTTATTAGTTATTCATTAAAAAATAAAAATCTAAGAGTTATATGTGATGTGATATCTGTGCAGATAGAGCATCTAGTGGGAACATTTCAATTTTTCATTCAACCTATAACTATTCTTCTGCTGACTGATTAAACTAAAAGAAGATTAATGTTGCATCGTTACAGAGCCCAGGGGATAACTGTTGGGACGATTACACACCACATGTTGTCGACGGCTGCAGGGTAAAATAGAGATGGAACCAACTTTTTACAACCACATATCCCGAGTGTGGGTAGGCAGTATAATATAGCCTGCTGGTTGTCTAAAGTAAGTACCTTACTGCTGTTACATCCCTATTCAGTACAACTTCACCCTCAAATCTCCCGATGTAGTGTAAGTGACACATACTACAACGGAAACTGCTTTCGGTCTTACGCTATTCAAGCGACATTCCAGAACATCCGTTCCAGTCAGTGTAGCTCGCTGAGTCATTGTGATATGCAGGGTAGCAGCTATCGGTGAAGAATATGACTGATTCAAGAAACACTAGAATTTTGCACACAAACGCCTCAATTTAAGTTGTCTTATTTCTGAAAAACGCATGAAAGTTGCAAAAGTTAATTTGACTTCAATACATGTAGATGTATGGAGTTGAGGATATTATTTGGTTATAGATGGCCAACAGTGAAATTCAGGATACAGTGCAGTATAAATCAACCAACAGAAAATAAAAACTGGTTTAAACAAGGAAGAGAGAATAATTAATAATTTTAGAATCGTGAAAATGAGCATTTTGAATGATTATGAATTGGATGTCACCCAGGGTCTCCGACTATAGTTACTTAACATTTCCGAAATCTCATCCAGTCAGTATGAACGAACCTCTCTGCGCGGCTCAAGCCGTCTGTCATTGAGTTCATCAGTAGACATTTTGTTTCGATCTGACCGCTTTCAACACTTCTCTAACTTCATCTTACTTCAGCTAACGTTGTTCCTCAAAGAAGTGGGTGAATCGACATGTGTAACATCTATCCTGACTACTTAGACCTGATATCCATTTCTGTAATCTTATAGGTTGGATCAAAGTACATACATTACTTGTTTTCCTTTTGTCTCATTCTCACCTCTTCTACTATTGAAGCCATCATATTTAACTTGCTTAACGCTCTTTTTTAAATAAAATAAATGTTTGCTTGATTGTTTGAAATGTACCGCACAAATACCTTACATTAACCAGGAAAACTGTTCATGAGGTATTATTCTCTGAAAGTATTCATATTACTATTTCAGCCCCATTAGGTATATAATTATAGTAACTGATCGTGTTATTTTAATTTTCAGCTATTTTCTCACTCACCTGATAGCTATTTAAAAAATTCTGCGTTCACTTTTCATGAGTGAATGAAACACCAACAAAATATATGACAGTGTAACATGAATTCATGTTTCTCGTTAATGTTTCATTCATCCAATTGTAAAGTAAATGAGTTATAGAATAAATTATCAAAAAATAAAAGAATATGTATAGCTATAGCAGCATAGTTTGAGAATTGTTTACTGTTTATCTTGACATTTAGTTATTCAAATGTCATCAGTTACATTAGTCAGAAATCAGTCACCTACACATTCATGTATGAGCCACAAACTCTTTGACCATAGCAAAAGCTGTCAAGGTTATAAAGTCGATAATAGCTCTGGAAGTAGCAAGACTAGATAAAATTTTCCCGGTATGCACTAAAAACGAACTCCGAGGCTTCGACGAACATGCTTATGCTACTAATGAAAAAGGTGTGAAAGGAAAAAAAGCTACCCGCCGATTGTCTGTCTGTCTATTTTTGACATAGAACTTTGCACCTATGTGCAGCAGTTCAAGTCACTACACCCCATGCCGATTGGAAAGAGGGTTGGTTGCCTTGTGGAACTGCTTTAGAAGTCTGACATCAGACTTTACAAGAACTGGCGTTAGATCATGTTCCTAACCATTTCAAATGAAATATTAAGCCCCATCATCCTGGAAATACCAAATGTAGGATTTAAGAATTCGCCTGCAACAGGAGGCTGGATTCAGGTAAAATAAGTCACATAGGTAGATTGCCACGGAGCCAGCTAAAGATATTTATTTAAACGCATAAAAATACTTGGTACAATATGGCACCAAGATGCGCCACACAATAATAAAACAACATAGATCAAAAAGAAAAGAAAAGGAAGGAAGGAAAAGAAATATATATATATATATATATATATATATATATATATATAAGTAGAGAACGGAAAAAGAACATCTGGAAGGAAAACACTCATGCTTAACAAGTTCAAACAGTGTTCGTTAACTATCATCGGGAAGGGAAGAAAGAAGGAAATCGCAACACATTCGCCATTGATTAAGATTCTTGGCCATATCCGATAGCGTTTCGAGCCATCGATTTGAGCTATCTCTCGGACCCCAACCAGGGAGTCGTGACACACCAACCGATGCTAATCTAGCACAAAAATCCTTCATCCCACGACGCCACGTCATGGACTGACCACCTCTCCGCCTTTCCCATCCCGTCCCAGGGTTAGGGAACACAGGCCTGTACGGAAGCCTCTGGGGTGACATTCGCAGTACATGTCCAAGCCACCGGAGCCGGTGTTTCCAGGTGACGACATTCAATGAATGGTGATCTCCACTATGTTCAAACACACGCCGCCGAACCTCAGAATTACTCACGCGATGATGCCATCGAACGCAAGCAGTCCTGCTGAAACAGCGGTGATCGAACACGCAGAGTCGCCGCACATCCTCAGCTTACTTGGAGAGGCCAGGTTTCACAGGTGTAAAGCAGCGCAGTCCGCACCGAAGCATTGCATACCCGACCTTTGACAGCCAGGCTAACGTCGCGACGGCGGCATAGGTGGCTCAAGTTGATGTATGCCACCCTAGCTAAAGATGATGGCAGTGACTCAAATGCATTGGAGATATGCAGCTTTAGCTCCATGTTTCACTCACAACTCAAGGAGTGAATTGAAATCAAATAATAATCTAATGTAAATTAATGAAAGTTATTTTACTGTTGAACGTCTACAATAATTCAGAGTTAATCACTTCATAATCTCTACAATTTATGAACAACCTAATTCAACAATTTACCTCTCATATAACATGTTGAAAAGTTCAGTTTGTCGGTTCATTACCGAGGTGCATCAGATTATGAGGTTCCTCAACCAATATTTACAATCCTATACTGGCAGACGTCAGTCACCACAGATAATTAGCCTGACAGTCTGTCAATCGATTTTCACCTCATTTTCGTTAAGTAATGGTTAACGCATTAAAAATTTCCATTGTAACATATAGAAAATCAAAACAAGTGATTCAGCGAAGAGACTCTTTTCAACGAATTTATCATCAAGCTGTACAGTCATATAAAAATGGTTTTTAAGAGGTTACATCCGGTGAGGGAATTGAATCTTAGGTGTGAATGCATAAAATAATAATAATATGAAGTTCAATTAAAACTAAAATGTTTGTGATTATAATCGTCTTAATCCCTCGATGCTAAAGTATGGTGATCCCTAATCCTATTTTAACTCTACCAATTTTTCATTTTGTCTATTCAATTTGTATACTCTTCCTTATTACGTCAATTGTTACTATCACTATTCTCACTTTGAACTGTAACCGGTATTATTTCACTCGTTCTACTTGTCATTCTAAATATCAATTCTGTTTTGCAACGTTAAATTCTATGCTATCAAATTTCACGCAATATTATGTAACGTTTTTATTTTATTCGATTTTCCCACTAATCCTATAATCACACACTCTTTTTCAAGTTCAATTTGAAGTATGCGCTGAAGATGTCACCCAGTAGGGTGATGAAAGCTTCGCAAATTAACCATCCAGCTCAGAGAACACAACCACATCAAAATCATCCACCTGAGCTACAAATCCTTTCTATCATATCACTTGTTTTGATTTTCTAATGGTTAACAGTCGAACTGTTTTACGAATTTCTTTATTATTCTTGTGTAAACGCCTACCGTATAGGGTGATTAACCTCATTTGATTATTACTTCATTCTCTCTATACGTATTCACATATGACTCAGTAGACACTTTATTTTACACTTTAATAGCATTGCGTATTTTTCCGCCTGTGTTTGGAGAGTAATTATTTCCTACCCACTGCTACTCTACTGATGCACTGCTTTTGTATTTTAGGTACAAGCAGTTTAAATATAAGTTACCAGGGTTGTAACTGTGTCAATGTCAGATAATGATATCACCATTAAAATAATTGTAGGTTAATTAAAACTTATAGTTTGTAAGCAATTAACAATAAATATACTATATTATCAAACCATCAAGTCCCTGATTTTTTATCGGAGCCACATGGGTACCTGTGTAGACTGAGTAGTTTTCACAGAAGCGCAGCAGTCGAAGTTCACAAACCCCTTACACCACACAAAGGCAGAGTAAAAATTCAAAATACTTATAATGAGCAGAAAAGTGCGGAAGGCAGAACATGAGACTTAAATGGATATGGAAGGTGACAAGAAGTGAATGCATCGGCGTCATTCAGAACAATTCTGAGTCATATCACCAGTAGTCTCTAGTCATTGGTTCTTATCCCTCCAAGGTCTGCTTTCTTACTTTACTGTCAAAAGACTTTGTGAACTAATGCCGTGTTTTGATCAGACCACCTCTAACTCTTTTCCAAACTAATTTTAGGTTAGCTATCTTTGCTGATCGAGAAAGTCGATGGCTAGGGATGCGTAACATATGTCCTAACCATCTCATTTGGTGTAGCTTCACAACCTTATCGATTTACTTACCCCTCTTACATAACAGTCGACGCCTAACCTCAACACTACTCACCTTATTATACCACTTAACATGGGATACAGAGCACAAACATCTGTTTCCAAAGACAGCTAGTCTTTTCGTGTCTTCCGTAAAGGAGAATAAAGCTAACTGCTCTGCAGTATACATGTTTTTTTGGTAGATAGCTGGATATAACATATGTATATATATATATATAGACTGGCTGACTAAGAGTTTGCTCTCGGAGACTTTTTGTGTCTTTATCCAGAATCGTTCAAAATGGTGCAGGTTCATGCATTCCATTTTTCAAATTCTCTAAGTTGTCACCAGTCTTCAATCTGATTTTCACTCTCCCGTATACCTTGATCCTCTGTAGTCTCATTACAATTTTTTTTTTACTTTTGTTGTATGTTTTTTTGAATTGTTGTAATTTGAAACCAATGCGCTTGTGTTGGAAGCTGTGTGTTTTGAAGACTGTCAGCATATGGTTATTTATTATAATCTGTTACTTACTCCTACTGTAAGTGTTTTTATTTTTGTTTGTTTATTTATCATTATTAGGTTATTTTCAGGGTATGAATGATTTACTTGCGTTAATTCTTTATGTCGTAAAGGATGAAGAGGATTCTTTCTGGTGTTTTGTTGGTCTAATGAATAGACTAGTAAGTTCTTTCATAATGTTAAATTAGCAGTATTTTTTGGAATAATATATGTGTAACTGATTTGTGATGAATTATGTCGTCTCTATTGCTCCCCCTCCATCCGTTCATATCTTAATTTCTGAATAATTTACCAAGGATGGCAAGTATCAGGGAATTTGTTGAAGTATGTTTGTATACAGCTTAAGAGACCTGCCGATGAAATAAAATGAGTCCACATGTTCATGAGCTTATTCTTTTCAAACAATTAAGACATACTGGTAGTATGTATTTTGTTTTTATAGAATCTAGGCACTGTAGCATAGTTTATTTGATATAACATGCAGTGATGCAGTACTAATAATTGGATGACATTTCGAACTATTTCAATGCATTTACCTGCATGTAGTCACACAGTAAGTTCGATAGGGTAGAAGTATTGAAGAATAATATAGGTGGGTGGAGAGAGAGAGAGAGAGAGGTTAATCCCCTGAATCTTTGGTCATCGAATCATTAACAAACACGTGCAATCGAAATGAAGCAATGCCTATACTGGATGTATAAGAAATTACAGTGAATTACAAAGGGGAAAAGAAAAGAAAATATGTATAAAGCAGTAAATTGTACTCGAAACGTTATCCTGTTATTAGTAGTGTATTACTGTGTGATTTTCATCAAATAAACTTATCTACTTCAATGATTCTTTTCTCATTGTTAACCTGGGTACCACATGTGCGTCACGTTTATATAGTTGGAGACGTCCTATTGACGAAATATGTGGGATGTATAAAATGTATTACAACTTCGCATCCTCCCTGTGTAATATCATTGGAGACTACAAAATAAAACAAACAAAACAACCACCTTAAAAAAGGTTTAGACGCTTGAATTATAAATTCCTTAAAGACTTCATCAAGATGTTTCCTAAACATCTCTCAGTCGCACAGCGATAGTGTTAGTCTCACTACATCCTGTGTACATGATTTTATTTCACAATTCGATGACAGTCAAAGTATAAAATAGTTATCCTTTAATGTCGTGTCTTTTGACGTTATTCTCGAGTTGTTTTTTTTCTTCTGTCATCCAACTTTCTGTTATCAATGCTCTACATATTTTCTTTTTTGTATGAATTGATCGTAGTTGTGTAAATCACAATTTACCAAAGAAACATGCTACATAGGTGATATAATACTGCTCTACATTATTTGCTTTTCGATAATAGATCCTAGTTGTGTCCTGATACTAATGAACTTTGTGAATACTGTGACAATGTGGCGTGAAGTGATGACTATAATTATAAAAGAGGCCTAAAACAGCTGGAAAATATTTCCCGTAGGTCATCAGCCTGATAATGTAGCGATTTACTAATCCATGTGCTAATTGAGTTTTAATTTAACTGTGTTCTGTGAGCTGGCTGATTTAATTGCGAAGCTTTCGTTGTCTTTCTAGACAATATCTTCAGTGAAGGTTTTAGAATGAAATGTACTTATTTGAATACTCCGTGAATGATGATATAATTGTATCTTGCGACAATGAACGCTTCGCAAATTAATCAATCAGCTCAGCAGGCACAACTAAATCAGAATCATCCACGTGAGCTACAAATCTTCTCTATTAATTGAGTTTTAATTTCTCTTTGAATTACTTCAGTCATCATCAAGCTTACTGCATAGGAGTTTGTTTTCTCTATTATGATTATTTCAGATGGTTTCGCCATGTGGATATACATTTTTATGTATTTGTTTTATTGCTTTTACTCAAGGAATCCAACTTTGATGGAGAGTTAAATGCTGTAAGAGAACAGTTTAATCAGTTATTTTCTCTAATTGAAATAGTTGATCCTGCATTCAGCGAATACCTTGGTAAGTAGTGTTATTATTATTTCTTTGTTGTTAATAATATAGAGATGCGGTTTTAATAAGGTCTATGCTATGCCTAAGTCTTTATAGGTTTACGGTACATTTTCAGTTTTGTTGGTCCTCTAAAACATTAAAGTTCACTCTTCTCAGAACTAGCCTATCACTGCTTGTAAAGCGCAGTATCAGTTGTCGATATACGTCTGTCTGTTTTCAACATAGAACTTTGCACCGATGTGCAGTAGTTAAAGTCGCTACACTATATATAGCGTACAAAGCAAGAGAAGAAAGTAGAAGAAATGCATATTAGAGACAGTAGACAGGGATATCAGATGAAAGGAGCAGTAATAACGAAGAACAATATAGTTTCATTGGAAATCATAGGTCACAAGTAGTGGATGCATCTGCGCCATTGAGAACGATTTTGAGCCATATCACCATTTGTTTCAACCATTGGTTTTTACCGTCCCGAGGACCCGAACCAGGAGGTCTACACCTTCCTACGTGGCTTAGACTAACTGTTGTGGATTTCATTGACTGGTGCCAAGTTTTTGTTTGACAACCGCTAGCTTTTTTTCCAGCCTGACCCTATATCCGCTAACATTGCCCGTCGATCGAGGAAGGCGATGACTAGGCATACGTAACACATGTCCTAACCGTCTCAGTCGATGTAGCCTCACAGCCTCGTCGATTGATTTCCCCTCCTTACCTAGCACTCGATGCTTAACCTCAATATTGCTCACCTTATCACACCACTTCACACGGGAGATAGAACGCAGACATCTACGATCAGAGACAGCTAATCTTTTCATGTCTTCCACCCTCAGTGACCAGGTCTCACAGCCATAAAAGAGGGTGGAGCGGACTGATGTGCAGTACACCCGCCCTTTGGTCGACAGCCAGCCGGATATCACGTCTACTAAGCCAGAGACGGTGTAAACTGGCATATGCGAAACTAGCCCTCTGTATCCGTGCTGAGATTTCGTCAGAGATCAATCCGTCGGGGGTGATGGTACTTCCCAAATAAGTGAAGTGGTCAACGTACTCTACCACTCCACTTCCCGTTTCTAAGCTAGGAGTCGGTGTAGTCCAGTCCTGTAACATCATCTTCCATTTGGCGGGAGCAAATCACATGCCTAACATTCGTAGGTTGCAGATCGAGGTGTTCAGAAGACTGCATTTTGTCAGCGTCCTCGCCTAGAAGGACTATATCGTCTGCATATTCTAAGTCAACGAGACTGTTATTCCCTGGTAGCAAGTCAATCCCTGAGTCACTGAAGTGAGTTAGGGTTAAGTCCATTAGTACATCTAAGATGAAAATGGAATAGAAATGGGGATAATGGGCATCCCTGACGGACACCACTGGTCGTCACCAGTCCAGATGACAACTCGCCGTAAGCCCTCACCTGGCTGACTGCATCAGTTCGAGTAGAGTGAGTGGCTTGATCAGTGCAATGTATTTTCTCGTCATTCCCTTTACAGCCAAGCATAGCCAGAGTATCTCTCGGTGGACAGAATCGAAATTTTTTATTTTTTGATTACAGCTTGATTCCACACTGTATTTTTTGGGACAAGTGTGGAATTTTCAGCGTGGATATCGGTAGCCCAAAATTCGCACGCCGACCATAGATATCAGGTGTGCGTCGGCGTGGGCTCGAACCCCGGACCATGTGCATGGTCGGCGAGAGTCCTAACCACTGTGCCACCGACGCACAAGTGGAGGTTTTAGAATGAAATGTACTTATTTGATTTGTGTTGATATTATAATAATTCTAAATTTAAATTTTGGTGATCAAGGTAAGTTTTGTAACGGTCAAGAAATATAATGATTGCTGGAGGCTGGTAGGAGTGACTATGTTCTAGAATCTGTCGAAGGGTGAATATATGATTGATACACCCTCTTCCTGGTCTACAGCCTGCCTGGTTCTCTCGTGTTTGTGCCTCCCGAGCACCACTTAGTCTACGCGTGATTATTGAGCCTAGGACTTTAGATACTATATTAGTCAAGCTAATCCCTCTGTGATTATCACAGGAAGACTTGTCTCCCTTCTTGTATATGGGTATAATCAGTGACTTACACCAACCCGACGGGACTTCCTCTGATTCCCAGACGCTGCCTAGAACCTCAGTTAATGCAGACAGTAAACTGTCTCCACCGTACTTAAATAGCTCTGGAGTCATTCCATCGGGTCCCGCTGCTTTGCCTAGTTTCAGATTGGTGACAGCTTTAGTAACCTCATTTAGGGACGGAGGACCTGTGTCTATATCCCATTCAGGGAGGTGTTGGATGTTCGGCATGTTGAGCGTGGCTGTAGGCCAACTGAATCGCTGCTCAAAGTGTTCTCTCCAGCGGTCCAGTTACCTGTCCTGGGAGCTAATTATGTTGCCATTGTTCTCAGAGATTGTTTCACTTTTCGTTTGCCTTTTACCACCTGTTTCGCTGATAAGTCTAAATAGTTGTTCGGTGTTACCAATCGCCGATGCCTTTTCCATCTCTTTCGCTTTTGTCGCCTATCACTGTTCATGGTTATTACGAAGATTTCTTGTTAGTTTGCTTTTAAGTGGCTTTCGCTCTTCATCATAATCGGAGCTTACCAGAATTAGTCTTCTTGCGTCGATCTGTTCGGATGAGGCGGTAGAGATCCAATAGCTCTTACTAACTTTTGGTTTTAGCTTATTAACAGCTTTTATAGCTGTATCTACAGCTAACTGTATGTTGTGCCAGGCCACCTCAGAGGAAGTCCTGCTGTCGACCTCAGGCACTCGTTTCGCTATTTCTTCCTTAAATAGGGGCTCAGACTCTCGATCTAGTTGGGGACGTAACTGTTTTGCTGTCGTCAATTTCTTATGTCCGTTTAGTCGTAAGCATAAACGTGTCCGAACCGGAGCGTGATCAGAGTCTACGCACGTGTTCCAGAAGGAGCGACAGTCTTCTACTGACACTCGCCAACGATACCCTATGGCTATATGGTCTATCTGAGACCAGCGTTGATTTGGTGATGGAGGTCGCCAGATTACACAATGTCTCTCTTTGTGCCTGAAGTTAATGCTGACTAGGAACAGATGATTATCTGAGCGAAAGTGTAGAAGACGATCACCGTTGTCGGTTCGTCGGCAGGAAACTCCATATGTACCACCTACATACTTCTCAGTCTGGCACAACTTCCCCACTTGGGCATTGAAGTCGCCTGCTTGAATTATTATATCTGAGCGTTTTGCTTTTTGCAGCAAGTTAGGCAGTTTCAGGTAGGAATCATCCTTTAGTTCATCCGAACTGCGGTTTGTTGGGGCGTAAGCGAAGACTACGAAAAGACGACGACGGGTAATGCGTTCTTCTAAGGAACCTATTCAGATGTAGACAGCATAGCTGGAAGGCTGGTCATCCGTGGAGAACACGTTACTGCTGTTGCATCCCTCTTCCTTAGCAGTATGACCTCACCCACAGATCGCCAGCATAGTGTAGAAGATGTTCTTACACTATGACGGTAATTGCTTTTAGTGTAATCGGTATCCTAACAATCTTCCTGGCATGGTAGGACCTGCAAGAACAATAGTTCCAGCCAGTGTAGTTTGTTGGGTCATTGTGATATGCAAGCCCGACCACCACGTCAAGGTAGCAGCTATCGATCGGGAATTTATTCATCACGTATATAGACGTGATTTTGGGTTTCGGTGCAATATATCTTAGGAATTCATACAGGAGTTAGCGTGATTATCAATTATGGACGTCAGTGTTTAAGGTAGTTAAAGTGAACCAGATTAAATGACTAATATTTGTGTATAAACTTGCCACTCGCTTAGTATGTAACTCCACACTAATTTGCTTATTGAAAATATCACATAGCGAAACGGTTTTACTTAGTGGATGAAGTTTTGAACATAACTAACTGTTTATAATCACATCAATCGAAATCACACAACTGCGAAACTTAAGTTTTACAGTTCTCTTTACTCCTTTTCATTTGTCCTAGCGGCAGTAGAATTATGCGAATGACCGGGACAGGTGTTGAATCATTCCTCTTGTATGTATTTTCACTTCATTTTATACATAATGCTTCCGTTATCAATCTCTCCCTCCACCACGTTATCTTACACTTTAAGCCTTTACAAACTAAATTATTCTGCCTAATGATCTCCACACAATCCTATAAACGAAATAATTAGTTCCCAAATGAGTTTTTGAGTGTGAGTGACACTTTTCTTACTTGTGAAGAGTCTTGCGTAAGAGTTCAATAGTATTCTCTTTGTGTGACAGAGCTACTGACTTTTAAATTTTAAGTACTAAAGTTTCTCTTATATGTTTTTTTCCCATGGGTTTTCTTTGGCCTAATTTAGTTCTTCTGACTTTTCAATCAAATACTTTACTAATTCTACTTACACTGGTTTCGACTTAGAATGAACAGAAATCTACATATTAGTTTAATTGTGTGATATATCTAAAAACAAAAGGTTTCTGTTGATATTATATTAATTCTAAATTTAAATTTTGGTGATCAAGGTAAGTTTTGTAACGGACGTCACTAGCATTTCGATACAAGCAAATATCCATTATAATGAAGGTTTTTGTATTTCCCAATGAATGAAAAACAAGACGATATTGTTTTGTTTACTGACGTTTCGCTATTTACTGCTAATAGCTTTATCAAAGTATTATTCAAGCAAATATCCTTTACAGTCTGAAGACAATCAGTATTACATCTGTCCTCCCAGGCATTTTATTTGTAGTAAATGCAAATATATTTTATACCTCTAATTGCACACCTGAAGTCTATTGAATTTTTTTCCCTTTAAAAAAGGACTGCGATTTTATGTATGGAACACCTTCATTATGCATTTCTATGATTTATAAATTAATATCCACTTCGTTTTCTATATTTTTCTTGAACAATATACCAAACTGTGTATCCTAGAAATGAAAAGTGCCAAAGAAATGCCATTCTGTTTTCGTTGGTTGCTAATTCATTTTAAAAGAGAATTTTCCTACAATGATACTATGGTTTTATGGGAGGTATGTTTCATTGTTACATTTATAATAATTGTTGATTAATTATTGTCAACTAATCAATACTAAGTATAGAATTGTGTGGATTATCTCTCCTGCTTTGAAAGAAGACAGCAAGCATTATGATATGACGATCATTTAATGTCTCTTATGAATATCTATCAGTTATCATGCGCATTCTGCGCATTCTTACATTTAATATTGTATTACAGTGAAGAATAATGTTCTGACAATAATTAGCTTCGTGACCACACATCACGTCTAAGAATAGACAGCTAACAAGCTACTTTTGCACCATACAGTGATCTGTTTGCGTGTTTTTTTCAGCAACCAATAGTTACTGTGCAATCGTGATTTGTTCATCTATGAAGTATGGATGTTGAAGATGTGTTCGCTGCACTTTTCGTCTGTTAGACTAACTTTTGCTCCCGACTTGCCATTGGTTTTACTTGTTTCAAGAATGCTGTACAAACCCTTGTAAAGTTAGGAGGTATTCTGAGTTGGAAACGTTTTGATTCCTGCACAACTCCGGGGCTGTTTGCATTATTCACGTTTGAGTCAGTATCAATTCATCCACTTTACTTTATTGTACACTAACTAAAGATTCATACAGATTATGTTTATCTCCACTGGATATGATTGCTTCAGGATACCATTTCAGACCTTATAAGTTGAATGACAATAACTCCTAGATGACTTGCAAAACTACTATCAGTGTAAACCAGTAGTTTTCAGCAACCAGCTGAATACATATTTAAGATTGTGGAGCTAATTTTGACAAAATATTCTGCAACATCGGCACCGATTTCAACCTGATGAAAATTTATTGTCACCGGAAATGTGATTCGGTTGGCTTATTTGCATTTTGAATTCGCAACTGGATATGAACTTTGTGGACTTCCAAGATGGATTTTGCACCGTCGATACATTTCAGATAGTTTCAGCAAAGGTGGGATTAGGAAGGGAGGCTGGTAGATGTCGCCGAGTCATTTTTGTGTGTACACTGAGTCGGTAATTTACAGCAGTAGTGGCAATAATATCATATATAACAACGTCACTTACCATCTAGTACTGCGCCAACTTATTCATACAGTTGGGTAGTGCTCAAGGAGAATTATTGTGGGATCAGTCTTTTATACTTAATCCTGTTAATGATCAAATGTGAAACCACCTAAAAGTTAAAAAAAGTGATAATCTCCATAATACTGTGAGGTGATTAACTGCATGTATCTGTGTATGAATTTGAATAGTATTAATGATGTTACAGTTCGAAGTGTTTAAAGGGATGACTTTGAAGTCCATTTTGAGATTACTGTTACGATGGGTGTTTTTCTCATCACTGTGTTACTGTCGTAGAATTTTTATCATTTGGATTTTAGAACAGACATTTCTGTCGAGTAACGGACTGAAGTCTATGCGTGTTTAGTCACTTTCTCGTAGGATTTCACGACTTCGAGTATTTTCTTCCATTCTCATTTAGGTAATTTGGACAGATTATCGTACAAAAAATTTCCATATATTTTTCGCTGCTGCTGTGCTATTAATGCAAAGAGATAATATAATGAACAAGAAATATGATGCAAATAGTATATTGAAGGTAATTTTGACCTTATTCAAATGTTTTACTATTATTTATATTATTCGGACATAGTGAAACATTGACACGATATACTACACCAGATCTGAAAGTATTTTTTTTTCATTTTTACTTGTAATGACTGATGGGTTGGTTAACAGTACTGTGGTGATGTGAATGACAGAATTTGTAGAGCGGTTGAACTTTTATTATTCTACCAAGTCAACGTCCATTGTGGGCAATTTAGGTTATTTTATTGAAAAATAACCAATTCAACTTTTGAAAATAAGGCCAACATTACAATTATTGAAAAAAGGCGATCCAGACTATGGCTTATGTTGATGCTACTGTTGTTACAAACAGCTTAACGGTTTAACTATCTGATTGACTTGTCAACGTAGAACTTCACACAGAAGGTCAGTAGTTCAAGTTACCACACAGTATATATAGCACACAAAGGTGAAGCAAATAATTCAGGAGACTATAATGAACTGAGATGTATGGGAAAGATAATAAGTAAGTGGAAAGTAATGAGACTTTAATGGATCTTATAGTTCAAAGAGAGTGAATAAATCTGCAGCGTCGAGAACAGTTTTGAGCCATATCACCAAGACTGTAGTCATTCGTTCTTACAGCGTGGTTCTCCCCAGCTACACAGTCTCCATCTCCTTACGTGGTTCAAGCCAACAGACGTCATGAACTGGTGCTGAGTTTTGGAAAATTCGCATGTGATGTAATTAAGAACACATAAATCAGCAAATGGCTCTGTTTTGATAACTTCACTTCAAACCTGTACATTAATTTGGGGTGGGAAGGGGTTCTACTTAAAATGTTGACTGACAACAGAGGTCAGAGGTTATTGTGTCATTTCGTTCCTAACTGACAGTGCACACGTCCTCTGATAGATATCTGTCTACTTTGGGGATGACATAAGTTGGCCAATGGTACATGAAGCTTTCGTGTCCGTGCTGTGAGATTTCGTCAGAACTCAATTGATTACGTCTGGTGCGTCGTGTGAAATAAGTGAGGTGGCCAGTCAGTGACCTGATAGTTTGATTCTTTATTGTTATTTCATATTCACACCCTCCAGCCTTCCACATAGATACAAGTCTACAAAGTGACCAACAGGACTTACTCAGTTGTTAAGACCGCACTTGTCAAGCAATATAGACTGTGAGCAACAGTTAATTCTGCTTGTTTAAGACGTAATCAATTATATTGTCTCGTAATCTAGTCTGACGTGGAGAATGCGACGTATAACCTTGTAACTCAATTGGTCTACTGTTAGCTTTATATAATACAGTTGTAATATCATTTGTTAATATATTCCAATTTTTTCTCATTCATCAATGTTTACCATATTTATATATCAAGTGTAGTATAATATTCTGTCGCATAAAATAATCAATACGAGTATCAGTGTACTGTGCTGTATTGTATCTGCGATTTTCTCATTCCGTGTCGGATGACTAAGTTTCAATGTAGAACTTGGTACAAAGTGTAGCATTTGAAGTTGGCACACTCTATGTAGCACACAGAGGTAGAGAAAAAGCAATTCAAAAGAACTATAATCAGCAGAAATATATGGGAGAAAGGATGGTAATATGGAAAGACATGAGGATTTCATTATGAAGGGGAATACATTTTTGCCGTTTAGAACGGTTTTGAAGTGTATCACCGATAGTCTCCAACCATCAGTTCTTAGCCTCCTGAGGACTGTAACCAGAGAGTGGCTCAAACCAACTGTCAACGATTTCATGGATTGATGCCGAGTATTAGTTTTACCACTCCTAGTTCTTTTCCAACCTAATCTTGTGCTAGCTAGCATTGCTGCTTGAGGTAGGCGATGGCGTGGTGTGCGCAACATGTGCCCTAACCATCTCAGTCTATGTAATTTCACAATGTCATCGATTGACTTCAGTGTATGATGCATTTACCTAACCGTGCAACTGAAATAGTTTCTACTTAACTGCTTTTCTGCTTTCTTCTTCTCCTCCTCCTCCTCGTCCTCACCAACTTAGCATGTGAATGAATTATCAATGAAATTCCACTAGAAAAATCCCTTAATTATGCTACAGCTTTATTGTCTCAGTTAGAACGAATTTCCGATTCTTTACCGAAATCCGTACGTAATGTTATCGATGGACAGTCGTTGGCGATGACTAGACATGTCAATGAATCAAAACAGAAAGGAATCAATTGTTCAGATCCATCGTCTATGTACGACTATTCGCCGACACTATTAAATGAAGAATTAGAGGTGCTGATGGATAATGAAATGTATGATCCTAATAAAGATTTGACTAATCAGTCTATATTAATGATACCTTCTGATACTAATAGACAGTTTTTTCAGTGATTTTAATGAATTAACTAAGTTTATTATTATTATTATTATTCGAAACCAAGTGCATTATGTTATGGGATAGCAAGTCATAATGTTTGCAGTGTATTATTCTTTTCTTTTTAATCAGACTCATTATTTATTACAGAACTTATGTAATGTATTTCACACACCATATATATGTCCCCATCATTTATTGACTAAAATGATTATCATTCAACACCTTGATTACAAACTGAATTGAGCAACTTGAGTTATGTTTTGCGAAATATTATATTACTTCTTGTATCATTTTGATTTTGCTTGATTGTTTTAGTTACAAAGTCGGTTTTTCTATTTGCCAAAGCGAAACATAGTTTTCTGAACACTTGTCTACTTATCGCATTGATATTTGTAAGCATACATATGAAGGTGACAGAAATCTCAGACTGTTTTTCTGAGCTGTGGGATGAGATGTAGGCTGTGATTTTTAAGACGCTAGGTAAGAGTCAGAGTTTGGAGCTTCTGTCAAGTGACGTGGGATAATCCACAGTATCAGGTATCTGTTCATCCCTTAATGTCGATGTTCCGATCAACACCACTGTCTGTCTGTTGGATTGTTGTATTATTTCCCACACATTTTTGTTGTCTGAAGTGTCTTAATATTTCGGTTCTCTGCTGGTTTTCCGAAAAGTGACAACTTGGACTTATCACGTTGGTTTGTCCTTACATCTGTGTTTTAAGCATGAGTGATCGTATGCATACTGTTGTTGTATTTTGCTTAGCTTCAGTGATCGATGCAATCTTAGCCTAGTCATCTGGAGTTTCTCCCACTAAGCTATGAAGTCTCTTTTCATTTAATATTTTAAAACAAGAAATATTATGAGACTTCGTTCAGATATTAAGTCTCCACATGACTTGTCAAGCTGAGTATTTGATACATGTGATAATTTATATGAAATCACAACTTTTCAATACATAGAGTTGGAGACAGGTACATTAAGATGTGAACAAGTTACTGGGAAGTTTTGCGTCTAATAGATGCTGGGTTAAGAGTTCATTAGTAGATATGGATTAACGTCGGTGCATTATATCATGTGTTATCAGTTAGGTGGACATGCATCGGAAACCGCAATGTATCCAGAGGTATTTTCAACACAAGGTGACTACCCCATTCAGGGAGAAGTCATCACAGCTGATTGTTTTAGGGGATGTGTATTTATGCGAATGAGAAAAGAAAAAGTGGTGAATACACAATATGGACCAGTGGTCAGGTGGAGAAATAGTAGAGTTGGACATATTCAAAGCACCACGCTCTGACGCATTGAATATCACGATGTTACTTTGACAACGTGTCAGATTGTTCACCAGAGGCAATCAAGGTAAGGTTAGGAACCGTAGTTACCAGTCATCCAAATTGTGCGTATAGTTTACGGTGGTAGTGGTGTTTTTTAACACTTATGGGGCAGAAGTGACCAGTGTCTGATAGGTAATTTCAAACATCATTTTGGGAGTTGATAAAAGATCATGAATGCGTGCTTAATATACGTGTTAAGTCTCAGTTAGTGTTTCGATTTACCGTAGCGGTTGTATTGACTTTCTATTAATTGTTCGCCTTTTTGATACCCGTAGGTGGTGGTACCCAACCTTCTTCCAAATCAAACAACTCAGTGAAGAAATAATGTAGTTGCTAATTTTTATGTGAATTGATTGATTTACCAGAGAACTGAAAATTATGTAGTTGAAGTGCTTTGAGCTCGCAGGTTGAAACACGTAAGTGCAAGTATTAATTGCGTAGAACCAGCTTTCATAAGACCGTCGATAAAAAATTGCTTATCAGAATCAGACTTCCACATCGACAAACAACACTAGGACGGTGTCCTTTTCTCTCTGCAGTTCACGTATGACAAACTTTTCATTTAGCTTTCTGGGCGTCTACTATTTCCTCAGTCTTAATCATTCAGAATATGAGGCTTCTTGTTCAACAATGATACAGTTATGAGAACTGAATTGTGCTTCGAAAGTCATCCAGTTATAAAAACTCAATTATTGATTCACATCAAAAAACATCTTTAATATGCAGTTCCTTACATAATGGATGTTGAGTGGTGCAGTTCTACGCTTACTATTAGCTAACGGTAGTAGAACACTGACTGAGTGTTGGACCGTGTGTTTTTTCATGACACAGTTCCAGTCTACACCCATGTTGGTAATAGATTTCCCAGTAGTGACCACATAGTGGTACTCCGCTCTCTGCATTTCTCACCACTAAATACAGGAAACAAACGAGATTCAGGGGGCATGATATATCGGAGTTAGAAACATACAGACTGGGGATTAGTCCAAGAAGTCATTCGACTCTGTCAGTGGGATAACTATTTTACCACTGACTCCCTGGAGGCTGTAGTGTCCCTATTTTGCAGGACTGTTACTTTTTTTCCTAGATACTGTTGCTCCTAAGAAAATAGTGAAATTAGGTAGACACCAGGCCCCGACCGAAAGCTGTTACCTTGACGTGGCGGTCTGGCTTGAACACCGCGACGACCCAACAAGCTATACTGGCTGAGACTTATGTCGTTTGAGGTCCTACCATGCCAGGTTTGTTTGGATAGGGGTTAGACAAAAAGCAGCTACCCAATCCAATACTATGGTTCAAACAAATTCACAAAATATCATGCCGGATCGGTCGGGGCCCGGATTAACAACGACTGCGCTTCCTGCTGCCGTGTCAGAGGGCAGAAATGATAAATATGTTACTGAGACACACCACACAAAAAAGAACAAACAGAAACAGCTCGCTTGTGACCGGCCTCAAGTAGTTGTCCCCCGGCCTCTGCGGTCACGCAACCAACTTCCACTGTGTGGGCAGCCGGGAAGTAACAACCGCCCATACACACTTCCATAAGCACAAAAAACCTTCCTGAGCATCACTCTTCCTTACTCACATCACCTTCCTCATCTTGCTTCCCTACTACAGTTAGCACTATTCTGTTGCTAGTGAGTCATTTTCGCTTCACTCTGTGTTCACAAACAACGGTGAGAGCCATAGAAACACCCCAGATAGCCTTTTATAGCCACGTCGCCAACTTCATATAGGAGCTTTTCACGTCAGGACCCTCTGCCAAATCGAACAACAGGCATCGCTGGCAAGAACTCTGGAATCTCGAGCCATGGATGTATGTTGTATTTCGGAGACACGCATACAAGACCCGAGTGTGGTTGTTCACTTGAACTCACCGGGTCAACAAGGTGGATCTGCGAAATTCACCTTAAGGGTGTCAGGAGACCCGTCAGCTAGCTCTCGAGGACGCGCAGGTGTAGGGATATCACTGAGTGTTAGGGTGGTAGTCATATCTTGACTGAATCCCAGTAGATAGTCGAATGTGCGCGGTCCGTCTGAATGGGTCCCTTAAAAGAAGGAAAGGCGGTGCTACCCCTCCTTGCCTTATCGTAGTCTTCGCTTACGCCCCAACAAACCGCAGTTCGGATGAACTAAAGGATGATTCCTACCTGAAACTGCCTAACTTGCTGCAAAAAGCAAAACGCTCAGATATAATAATTCAAGCAGGCGACTTCAATGCCCAAGTGGGGAAGTTGTGCCAGACTGAGAAGTATGTAGGTGGTACATATGGAGTTTCCTGCCGACGAACCGACAACGGTGATCGTCTTCTACACTTTCGCTCAGATAATCATCTGTTCCTAGTCAGCATTAACTTCAGGCACAAAGAGAGACATTGTGTAATCTGGCGACCTCCATCACCAAATCAACGCTGGTCTCAGATAGACCATATAGCCATAGGGTATCGTTGGCGAGTGTCAGTAGAAGACTGTCGCTCCTTCTGGAACACGTGCGTAGACTCTGATCACGCTCCGGTTCGGACACGTTTATGCTTACGACTAAACGGACATAAGAAATTGACGACAGCAAAACAGTTACGTCCCCAACTAGATCGAGAGTCTGAGCCCCTATTTAAGGAAGAAATAGCGAAACGAGTGCCTGAGGTCGACAGCAGGACTTCCTCTGAGGTGGCCTGGCACAACATACAGTTAGCTGTAGATACAGCTATAAAAGCTGTTAATAAGCTAAAACCAAAAGTTAGTAAGAGCTATTGGATCTCTACCGCCTCATCCGAACAGATCGACGCAAGAAGACTAATTCTGGTAAGCTCCGATTATGATGAAGAGCGAAAGCCACTTAAAAGCAAACTAACAAGAAATCTTCGTAATAACCATGAACAGTGATAGGCGACAAAAGCGAAAGAGATGGAAAAGGCATCGGCGATTGGTAACACCGAACAACTATTTAGACTTATCAGCGAAACAGGTGGTAAAAGGCAAACGAAAAGTGAAACAATCTCTGAGAACAATGGCAACATAATTAGCTCCCAGGACAGGTAACTGGACCGCTGGAGAGAACACTTTGAGCAGCGATTCAGTTGGCCTACAGCCACGCTCAACATGCCGAACATCCAACACCTCCCTGAATGGGATATAGACACAGGTCCTCCGTCCCTAAATGAGGTTACTAAAGCTGTCACCAATCTGAAACTAGGCAAAGCAGCGGGACCCGATGGAATGACTCCAGAGCTATTTAAGTACGGTGGAGAAAGTTTACTGTCTGCATTAACTGAGGTTCTAGGCAGCGTCTGGGAATCAGAGGAAGTCCCGTCGGGTTGGTGTAAGTCACTGATTATACCCATATACAAGAAGGGAGACAAGTCTTCCTGTGATAATCACAGAGGGATTAGCTTGACTAATATAGTATCTAAAGTCCTAGGCTCAATAATCACGCGTAGACTAAGTGGTGCTCGGGAGGCACAAACACGAGAGAACCAGGCAGGCTGTAGACCAGGAAGAGGGTGTATCAATCATATATTCACCCTTCGACAGATTCTAGAACATAGTCACTCCTACCAGCCTCCAGCAATCATTATATTTCTTGACCGTTACAAAACTTACCTTGATCACCAAAATTTAAATTTAGAATTATTATAATATCAACACAAATCAAATAAGTACATTTCATTCTAAAACCTCCACTTGTGCGTCGGTGGCACAGTGGTTAGGACTCTCGCCGACCATGCACATGGTCCGGGGTTCGAGCCCACGCCGACGCACACCTGATATCTATGGTCGGCGTGCGAATTTTGGGCTACCGATATCCACGCTGAAAATTCCACACTTGTCCCAAAAAATACAGTGTGGAATCAAGCTGTAATCAAAAAATAAAAAATTTCGATTCTGTCCACCGAGAGATACTCTGGCTATGCTTGGCTGTAAAGGGAATGACGAGAAAATACATTGCACTGATCAAGCCACTCACTCTACTCGAACTGATGCAGTCAGCCAGGTGAGGGCTTACGGCGAGTTGTCATCTGGACTGG